AAGACAGGAAATATTATATAAAAAAATATGTAGTATTTGCATGAACATCCGCAGTTTAGTTGCCGGCGCGCGTTCTCGCGAAGCCGTACGTTTCGAGTGCGAACCGATAAAACGATTCGTTGCGCGACAGCAAATTATGGTCGTAAAGAAAAAAAGAAAAAAGAAAAAATAATAATTTCGACGATCCGTCTGTTAGAAGAGCGAGGCTATGGTAACAAGTTCAAAGCTTGTACCAATTTTAAGTAGTCGCGTGTCGAATCGTTCAGCTGATACACAGGAATAAAAATGCCGGGTTAAAAGTAGAGTTGCGTGCGTGTTTACACGCAATCACCTCGGACACCTTGTTGGCCGGCTCGGCTCGGCTCGGCGCGGCGCGGCGTTTTCTCTCCAACAACAAAGACGCAGATCCAGGTGTGTGTAAGTTGGATTAGAAACGATATCGCGTCGGTGTAGGTGGGTGGCCATGCACGTGGATACGCGAGAGCTTAGAATTATGCTTTATAAGTACACATATAAAATTGTACTATGTTGGTGGCACGCATGCGGATCTAGAAGCGTTGGCAACGCGGCGGTGCCAGCCAGGAATCAGGTCACTCGTATCAAACTGACCTACATACCGTTATCGGCCGTATTATCGCCTTTGATAAAGCGCTTATTAAACGTACAATTATGCCGGGGAAAGATTCAAGGCGTCGTCGTGTTGTTCTTCCCTTCTCCAACAGTTCTCCATTTATTCGTATACCCTAATTGACCAGGAGCTCGGGACACATTTCTCAGGATTCCATTTAGGAATCCGAAGAGGGTGTAAATTAACCCCTTCGAAGCTGAAGATTTTTTTTTTAAATTGTCCGAAGGCTTATCTTTGGGGCGACTGGAGAACGGAGCCTTCTGTGATCCAAAGGATCATCGCGGTGTCGTTCGATTCATTATCGGCCCATTCTTCAGCCGATACTCCGACGACGACGACGACGACGTTGGTAGTAATAATAACACAGGGTAAAAACGTTCTCCCCAACGCGCTAAAAATAACGAGCAACAATGACACGGGTGACCGCATACTGGCCACTGTCCTTCCTCGACAGTTCGAACTCTTCAACTTGACCTGGATAGAGAAATTATTCCCGTCGTTCGCGAACGAATTTCGCGAGAGTTTGAGAAATTTTGAAAACCATTGAAATCGAATTGGTGATATCTCGTGGCGCCTCTAGTCTCGTACGACGGACGCGACTACGTAACGAAAGAAACCAGCAGCAAAATTATTCACGGACTTTGACTAAAGAAAATTGACCACGACACGAATGGCAAAAAAAAAGGAGAGAGAGAAACCGATTCCAGCTGTATTACGTAGGCGAATGAACGAAAGTGAGAGGCCGAGATGTGCGGATGAAAAGTAGCGCGAGAAAGAGAGTTCGGCTTACTTTAGCTCGGTTATGCCTTCGTACAAGAAACGGTTGTTTCTCTCTCTCGTAACCGCTTAACGTAACAACCGTAACTAGTACCATTGCCAACGAAAGCTGTCGTGGAAAGTAAAAGCGGATGAGCCACTTTTCGCGCGTGACGAGTCGAAGCTGGCTCGAGCAGAGGGACAAAGAGGAAACTGAGCGATCGCGGAGGACGGAAAAGAGAAGGCAACAACTTTCGCCCATTCACGTGGTGTTCGCGGCTCTTGAACCGACTCGCGAGATTACTATTGCGTCTAATGTACCGTCTTACACGCGATATAAATACGCGGGTAGGTGCGGACAAACACGAGGAGGAGCCGCGTCTAGCCGTGGTCGAGTGCTCGCGGAATTGGCACTCGTCGATGCGTTTACGCGACTACCAGGCAAATACCTCCGCCTGTTGCTCCTCCTCGGTTTCTCTAATTTTCCCGAAGATCAGGCCGTTTTTTTCAAAAATTTTCTTACCGACCTTGTCGCTCGTAACCGTATAAGGAAATTCTAACAGGAAGGTTAACCGAATACATCCGCGGCATACCGACGTAGGTAATATTATAATGCATTTGACTCATCGCAGCGCGTTAACCTAAATTGTCCTTCGAAAATCACCGATCAGACATTTCGAGGCCTTCTGTCGTTCAAATACTTCCTCTTCCGGAATCTTTCTCTCTCTCTCCCTCTCTCGAGGGTCAGTAACGTTAAGCTCCAGATGCGTTCTACAAGTGTATCGTGCGAGAATTCGTGAAAATCAAAGATTAATCAATGTCCGTTCGTGACATTGCGGAAGGTTTATCATATTTCATGTTTCTCTGCTATGAGAGACATCGCGTTCTTGCTCGTTTACCTCGCCGCGTCTGGCTCGGACAGAAATGTTTCTCCAGGAAATTGCCGGTCATTACAGTCGCCGATCATTATTATTGGCCTTACCTCTCGAAGAGCTGCTCTCGTGTACCCGATTCGCTTTTCAACCTTGAGCAGTGATCCTGTTCGAGCTCCTCCTATGGCAGATCCACTGGCGAAGTAGTAAAACTTAACGCTTCGCGGACAGGCCGATTATTAATAGTTTTCGATGATTTATCCCTTCGTATCCAATTTGACTCGTTGCATTTTTTTTATCGAATTTCTACTCGAATGATTCAGAAATTCTGTTTGGATTTCCTAATTTCAGTTATCTGCGAAGGTGAAACGTTCGTCATTGATTTATAGCTACGCGATGACTTACTTTCGCCGTAATGGCACGCTCGTTCCGCGTGGATCGCAAATTTTTAATCGTATCGCGAGATTTTTCGGTCAAGGTCGAACTCGTCCTTGGCTTTTCTTAATCGTGATCGCTGATAAAAAGAGAAGAGAGAAAAAAAAAAAAGGAACAAGGTGGGGTGGGTGCGCGCCACTCAAGGTACACGATCAAATGGCCGATGTTGCGAACAGATACATACATTGCATACAACACGGTAGCTCGCACCAAACTTGCATTGGACTAAATACATAAATATGATTCGTAATAAACGGCAATGAATGCAGTCTATCGCTCGAACGCGAACTTTCACATTTTACGGAGGCTCGAGACTTGACTACCTTTGCGAGGCTTGTCTCCTCTGCACGTGTGCTCCCCTATCCACGTTTCTCATTAAGAAGAGAGTCATGCAAAACAGCTTAAATCTCGATTGGTCATCAAAGATACTTCGCTTACCGGCAACGAAGTATCATCGTTTCATCGTTCCCTTAATCCTTTGCCTTGTAACGTTGACTCATACCCGCGACATGATTCACATGTCTGTAGAATTGAATTTCAAATTTTATTTTAATTATAATTTGCTAAGTCAAGGATCGTTAGATTCAAAGCGAAAGAATTCGTGGCTGTTATGGAACAATTAACGAATAGCACTTGTTACAATAACAATAACAGAAACGACGGTAATAATAGCTCTAATCTATTGTCGCCGCTCGCAAACTGTTTCCATTCGATAACTTGCGAGACCGTTTTAAAAGTATGTATCGTCGTCAGATATTTACTCGTCGCGTTGGATTTGATAAAAAATAATGTTGCACCCTGGAACGTTAGGTGTTTGAAATTCTCTGATACTTTCGACCACCATCGACGGTAGCTGTTTTGCTCCCGACTATTCTTCACGGATAAGTTCCACCTGAATTTTCGAAGGTGTCGAAAGAGGAACGGGTCAGAAACGTCGTCTTTACTGCCGTTTCGCCTTTCTCCCAAAGATACCGAAACGAAACTTTTACGAACCCCTAGGTTCCATCTAAAAGAGAAAACTGGCAAACACCCCCTTGCGGACACGATATTGTCATCGGGGCACTGGGTCACTGGGGACTCCCGTTGCGAATTGCACGCAATAATTCTCGACAGTATTTCCCAAATATTTACATTTACCCTTAATTTATGGGCCGGATCCCCTGGGGAGAAAACGACCTCCTCTCTATAACTCTTCAAGGAGCATAAACTCTGCTTCGCACAGGTAGTTTAGGTTTGCCCTTGCAATTTCTGTTGCTTTCTAGAAAGGAGCAATTGAATCTTGCTGCAAGAAAAAAAGTTTGACAAGAATTATTTTTTCCATTTCATTTATTACCCAAAGATTACAATTATCTAAATTACAATAGGTCTGATTTCTCTTGAAAGTTGAAACGATATGGAATTCTGAAATTTGAAATCAAATTCATCGGTCGCGACACGCGTTCGTGGCATAAGGTCCATTTCGAATTCCATCGTGTGTCCCAGTTGCAAGGTAATAAAAATGGGAGACGACGAGCAACGAGAGGGTCGTCTGAGGTATATACATGGCCGCACACGGATGCATGCTCATACATCCTTGCACTTCTACACTGAAACTGGTCTACGCGTACTTTTTGCCATAGAACGATGGATTTGCACGCTGAAATACGCGCACGCGCGATCTTCGCATCTTCGTCGCCAACGTGTGTCCTATGCGTACACGGATCTATCCCTCTTAGTATCGTGTGTGTGTGTGTAATGCGTCGTAACACGACGACAGACGAGACAAGCATGCATTTGCACAGGATCGCGTGTACTTGTAGACACATGCGCGCATGCACGTTAATGCACACACAGTTACACGTGGTCTCGCGATATCCCATGTGGGTAAGTGTGTCAAGGACGTGCGAACTGGCCTGCAAAACGGCAGTTCGCGTTTCGTGGATGAAACAGTATCTCGTTTTCTCTCTCTTCGACGATCATCCTTACTTTTCTCTTTTCCTGATCGCCCGGACACCAACGGAATGACAATTCGCGAAATCCCTCTAGCGATCATCCATGGAATATCCATAGACGATCGTTTGAAAAATAAATTGAGAATATTAACCCTACTTTCGGAGAGGCTGAAATTTCTAACTAAACGTACTTCCATGCGTCGGTAGAAATTTCCAGCAGGGTTGCTCTTTGTTATTGCGTCCACTTCGTTCTAAATGAATTTGACAGTTCCGATGAAATGACAAAAATATATATTACGGTAACAGAGTCTCGATCTGTGTATATCTCTGGGTGTGTGTATGTGTGTAACAGCACAATGAGTTAGATTTTACTTTTAGTTTCGAAAATGGGATTGCAGAGTGGGGCGGTCCTTGGCACACTTCACACACCGAGACACGTTGCTCGTCGAGCAAGAGAGAGAGAGAGAGAGCAAAAGGAGAAAGAGAGATACATCACACTAACAAGAAAGAGAGAGAAAGATCACACCAGTCTCATATTCTTTGCGTCGAATATTACGAGTTACAGATACCATACCTGCATAGCTAACACCGAGATAGTAATCGCACGCTAGATGACGATATAGGTAGATTTTTCTTTTTTTTTTTCTTTTTCTTTCTTTTTCGACGATGGATCAAAGTTGGCCTTAATATTCTTTATTAACGCGTTAGGTGCCGCAATGCAAACGGACGTACGTAGTATGATACGCTATGTTATAATAGTCAACTCGTCCAAGTATTGTGCTTCCCAATACATAACGAAGATACCAAATCTCCTCTTGTTACTACTATTATCGGAGTTACTTTACCTTCCCCTACTTTCTTGCTACAATTTTCTTCCCTTATCACACTGGTGACCCCCACGGTATTCAGCGTGTTAACGATCATCTTCGATCGAAACCTGGGGAAGATTGCTTCCATTTCTGTCCTGAATACATTTACCAGGATAATCATGTGCCCTAAAAATAGAGCTCTATACTTTTAGTATACTGCCATGATACTTGGTATACTCCGAATTGCTGCATGTATATTTCTGCATTTACGATTGTCTGTTTTTCTTCGTGCGTTCGAGGAAGAAACGCGATGTTGTTTCCGCATTTTTTGCGAAACACGTAGAGAAGAAGGAAATCGTTCCGTATAACGCAAACAGGATTCCGTGGTTACACAAGTTTCATTTGTTCAAATATATGAAATAGTATAGTAATGTATTATTCATTGATTATATTATGGGATGAAGCATATTACTTGCGATAGTCTCTGGTAATCGCCTACGAGCGCTTAAAGGATCAGCGTGATGCTAATTGACCCAGAATAGCTTAATGCCGATAATGGTCACATCATTTCAACCCATACGGGTAAAGGACTCGCACTTTTACAACCTTGTCGTTGCGACTGTCGTTATCGTGTTCTTCTCCACTATCGAACAAGTTTCTTGTGTATTATCGATGGAGCAAATATACTAGGTGAAGCAAGATACAACGAATGTATCGATATTGGACATCGATCGATTAAAAGTTTTCATTTGATCGAGCGATCTATCCATTTAGGAATTCTAGATTTAACTGCCTTAATTTTACCATTATTTAATTAACACTTTGACGATTAATTTATTAATTGTTTCTACGATTTTTATTTTTATTATAGAAGCATGTTATATGATAAAATGTATTATTGCTAGATCATTTTTGTCTCTATGAAATTAGAGAGAGTCAACATTCTAATGAAATCACTGCCTAATAGAGTGTCGAAACTGTAGAACCTTTGGTATAATGATTTATCATTCCCGAACGTATCGGTGTGCGCCATTTACATTTCCAGAGTTTCTGGGTCACAGCTTTCACTTTCTTTCGTTGCTTCTTCCGCCCTTTCGGATACCCGAAGCACGGCCCTTTTCCCTTTCGTTTGATCCTTTATTTTTATTTTTATTTATCGTCACTACGTGATAACGATTGAATGTGACGCGCAACGAAATACACACGGGTTCCACCTCTATTCATTTGTAGATAATAAAATCGCACAGGTACTCATTGGTTTCCGATTTGCTTTAGATGGGAACAAAACGTGTGCACCTGCGTTTCAACGATATAGAAGGAAGTAGGCCGTTTTTAACAGCTTCTCCTCAGAGCTACCCCCATAGAATTTAAAGAACTAGGGGGGGCAAAAATCGATGAAAATTCTTTTTATCGTAATTCTTCTCGTAAAGTTATAAAATTATTATCAAAAAATTCAAAGTGAAAGTGCCCTAAGCATTAGACGAATGCCCTGTCTGTCTGGTCCCTGGGGTGGCTCTGGATCTACTCACTTGTTGCGTAAATGGGTCGATGTGGAAAGAAGGTTTCAGTAGGAAATTGAGCGGTTCTTGTTTCCAATATTTGGCTTACTTTTTTTACCAAACAGTGCTGATTAACAAAGCAAACTTTCTCGCTAAATTTTGTGATTAACATTCGTCTGCGAGCAACGTCTCTTTAGCTGCTACATACAATTTTTCTTTCGCCTTTCTTTTTTCCCCTCTTTCGCGCAGTATGTTTCGTTTAATCCAAACGCAATCTGTACCACGCTTCTTCATTTTTTTTTTTCCTTGCTTTTACAGTTTTGTATAATTAAGCATACAAATGTGAATATGGCGTATTTTAAGTGGTTACGTAAGATCAGTGATACGCGCAACATTGTGTTCGAATCGGGAATTCGTGGCTGGAATATATTTGTTGCAGTAGAAACGAGCACGGTTATGAAAGAAGTTTTAACCCTTCTTCGAATTTCTAAATACAGTTCCATAGTTATTTTCTCGGAATTATTTAATTTACATAAAATCATTGATCACGATTCGAACACAGTTCATTGATACGCAGTTCATTGCTGAAAATAAGGGAAATTTTTGGAAAAATCCATGGTAGTTATACGATATGCCACCTAACCTCTAAACCTGGTGCACTGGATGCGACGACAACGACGATGGCGACAACACGCTTACAATATGTAGTTGCCGCGTGCATTCATCGATGACACGTTATGCGCGTGCGTGCATGCGTGTGCACTTGCATATACATATAGGTAGGAGCGTACGTAAATGTATGCGCTATTACGGCAGGCGAGCATGGTTACTTGGACGGAAAAGAGCGTGACAATTATGCTCCAAGTGTATAAGCAAAGCTACAGGGGAGTGGAGAGAGAAAGAGAGAGGTAGCGTTAGAGAAAGAAGTATACGTTGTACATTTTTATTAGAGGAAGAAAGAGAGAGAGTAAAGACGATACGTGTGAGGCACGGAGAGAAAAAAAGAGAGAGAGCAAGGGTAAGGCAAGAAAGAGAAAGATACGGTTGAGAAAGAGCAGGGAGTAGAAGGGAGGAAGAGGAAAAAAGAAAAAAAAAAAGTACGCACACGTTTAGGGTGACGGAACACGTAAAGAGGTAAGGGCAGGGTCTGAGAGAGAGATAAAAGATAGGTTGCGGAGGGTGGGATGCGCGAGGTGGATCGTAGAGGGTGCGAGACGGTGAAGGGGCGCGAGGGAGGGGAGGGAGAGAGAGAGAGAAAGATATAATGAGAGGGAGTGAGTCGCGGCTGCGTCATGTTCTCAGCGAACTGGGTCAGTGGGTCTCCCCACCGCTTCGCATCATACATCTACTGCGACGTACACACAGAGAAGCACTGGCACTGTTGGGGAGTGCCAACGGCGTTACTGTTGACCCAGCCACGGCCTGTATGTGGCCTGTGCGCCTGCCCTGTGCCCGCTTACCGCGACTCTGTGTTTGGTTCCCCTGTGCTCTTTGAAAGCAAGAGTTGTTCGCGCGGGTTCTCCGCCATCCGTTCGATTTTACTCGCGCGCGACGAAAAAAAGAAAAGACCGAGCGTACGAAACCGAGGCTACATCAAAGTCAACGATACTTAACGACCTTCCGGAGAAGCGTCTGGTTTTATCGTTTATCCGAAAGAAATATTTATTTCCATAGATTTTACAAGGATCTTTCACAGCGAGTATATTGGATAGTTTCGGTTTTCTCGCGACAAATCGTAGACGGTAGCGAATCTCGTGCGGGTTGTTCGTGTACACGTGCGTTGGGGTATTCGCCGGCGACAAATACGGTCGACGAAACGACGGCGGCGGCGGCGGCGGCGGCGGCAGACCGGCGCGGGAGCGTACGAGGACAATACTTCCCCGGCCGACATAGACCTGGTTCCGTAAGTAGGTCATCCCCGCCAACGGCTGTGCAACCTCCTTCTCCCCTCCTCCCTCGATCCCTTCGACCACGGCAATACCTCCCGACCGTCCCCCTGTCCCTCTGTCACTCCGCTTCTCTCTCTCGCAACTCCCTCTCCTCCCGAACCGCGTGTTAACCCCCCCCACCAGTCAGGGCACTCGGGAGGCACCTCCACTACTTCGTCGGGCACCTGGCCGCGCGCGGTGGCATGCGCTGCTGAATCACTTTCACTTATGCCGTGCGCTGTGTTGGTTATACGACGTACATCTCTCTCTCGCTCTCGCGCTCTCACACTCGACCCGTGCCCGTCGGTAAAGGGACACGCGCGCTCGTTCTCTCCTCTCCTCTATACCCACCGAAACGCCAAAGGAGCCTGACGGTGCGCGCCTCTCGCCATTCTCCCAGTTCTGCCAATTTTATTTTATTCCCGACGGTGTCACGGTGAAGCGCGTATCTTTCTACCGGTCGAAATCGCGTCGTGCCGTGTCGTGTCGTGTCGTGTCGTGTTCGTTTCGATCTGTGAGCAAAAGCTGAGTGCCGCCGTCACGGCGCGTGGTGTCCGCGACAACGTGTGTTTTTATTCCTAACAAAATAGAAGTACGAGAAAAGCGGGGCGTGGATCGAAAGAAGACATCATCCCGGGCCGTGTTTCGCGTTCACCACCGGCGATCACTCGTTTCTTTTTTTTTTTTTACTGTTGTGTGATATATATTCGTGACGTGTACCGTGTCTCACGAGACGGTCTCCCAACTCTACCTACCTCCATGTGTCTTCGGTAGGGCGGCAGAGGGGAGGGGGCGGGCCCTTCGGGAAAGCAACGAGGCGAGAAGACAACTAGTCGTACGCAGATAGCCGAGCTGTCAAGTTGTACGTTCCGACAACTGGAAGATTCTTTTCTCTCTCTCTCTCTCTCTCTCACACACACTCTCACTCTCACTCACTGTCTCATCGTCGGACTTTACATACCGTTCATAATTGGCGGTACATTTGTTTGGATTACAGTGTGTGCGCGCGCGTTTATTTCATTCGTTTGAATTCGACTTAACTCTTCGCGGCATCGAAGTTATAGTTTTCGAGTGAAGACCGTACTTGTTATACTTACTTGGTTTCGCGTACGCGCATGTGTGATTACCCTGTAACGTTACCGGCGATTCCCGTGTCGCAAGAAACAACGATCCGATTGTTTTTTCTACCCGGTGATCAGATCGAAACGATCCACCTCGTACAGTGGGTTAACCAGTTTAACCTCGTGTGTGCTTATCGTTGTTTCGTGTTACATTATAACGCTGGATTATCAGTGCCCGCGACGAAAGAAAGATAGTAACGAGGTACGGTGGTGATTTTCTTGTTACGCGACCGTACGAAAACGCAAGGAGAAAAGAAAAGAGTCGGTGCATCAGTGACAGCCGTTCTTTGAAATAAAAAGTAAAAAAAAATTCATCGCCATTTGACCATGATTCGGACGTAGTAGCACGATTCGAAGAGGATTTATCTCCTGCAGTGGTGCGCGATGATGGTTAACTTCAGGAACGTGTACCGTAGAAAAACGTGACTGGTGATCGATATTATACGTGCCAAGGGAACAAAGTGTGTTTTCTTTCATGCTTATATGCTTTTTCAACTTGATCGTTACATCGTTATATCGTTATATTCCGATCGTTGTCGTATCGTCGTTGTCGTCAACATCCAGCGCAACCGGTGGTACCTTAAGTACCAGGATCTTGCAAAGAAGGTGCGCTGTACACGGTAAAGTGAACTAAAAGGGAATCCGTAACCGTTGTTCTTTTGTCGCATACAACGCCATTGGCGATATTATCGTTAAACAAGGTGGCTAGAACAAGGAGAATCGTTAGCCACCTTATATATGAACCGATACGCCAGAAGCACGTTCCTCCGTGCAGTGCTGCTTGCGCAAGGGTGATATGTTATTGGAGATGGAGCAGCATTCGGGCCTGATATCCCTGAATATGTCGCCGTTCCATCTAAGCCCTCAGGGTAGTCCCCAAGGTGCGGCCGGTGCGGGCCAGCAGCAGCAACAGCAACAGCAGCAGCAAGCGCAACAACAGCAACCGCAGTACGGTTCCTCGCCTTACGGCAATTGCGCTCAAAGCCCGCCCACCACGATGTGCCACCAATCGCAATCCCAGCAACAACAGCAACATTTGTCGGTTCATAGTCAGGCACACTCGCAGGGTGGTATATCGAGCTTCGACGCCGCGTTCTTCGATTCGACCGCCCTGGAGGAACGGTGCCCGATGTGCGGCGACAAAATGTCCGGTTATCAGTACGGTCTGCTCACGTGCGAGTCTTGCAAGGGCTTTTTCAAACGCAACAACTCGCCGTGTAGTAGTAAAAAAGTGTACACGTGTCTATTTTCGCCGACGGGCGGTGGGGGAGGTGGCGGAGGCGGAGGTGGTGGTGGAGGTGGTGGCGGAGGAGGAGGAGGAGGAGGAGGAGGAGGAGGAGGAAGTAGTGGCGGCGGCGGAAACAGTGGTAGCGGTAACAACGGTGGAAACGGTGGCTGCGGCGGCGCATCTTCGGCACTCGAGATCGGATCTTGCGGCAACAAGAAGGTGTACACGTGTCTGTTCTCGCCAACAGGGGCCGGAAGCGGCACTGGAGGCAGTGGCGGCAACAATGGTAACGGCGCCGGAGGTGGTTGCGGTACGTCGACGGCCCTCGAGAGTAGCAGCAGCAGTTATACCGGCGGAGCGTCTGGTACCGGTGGCGGTGGCGGTGGCGGTGGCGGTGGCGGTGGCGGCGGTGGCGCGGGTGGCGGTGGTGCGGGTGCCGCTGGCGGCAGTGGACCCACCGCAGGAAACGCCGCTGCTGGCGGTGGCGGTGGCGGTAACGCGAGCGGTGCCGGAGGCGCTGGCAGTGGCGGCGGATCCGCTACGGTAAGCGGCAATGTCGCGATACCAACTACCACCTATTCGTTACCATCTGGTACCCTCTGTCATCCTGGATTGGGCCAGGTCGGGGTTGGTGTCGTCACTGGCTCGATACCATGTCCCTCCGACTTTCCCGACACCAAGGACATCGTCATAGAGGAGCTATGCCCTGTCTGCGGCGACAAGGTCTCCGGGTATCACTACGGGCTACTCACCTGCGAATCCTGTAAGGGATTTTTCAAGCGCACCGTCCAAAACAAGAAGGTCTACACCTGCGTTGCCGAGAGGTCCTGTCACATCGACAAAACGCAACGGAAGCGGTGTCCCTACTGCCGTTTTCAGAAGTGCCTCGAAGTCGGCATGAAGCTTGAGGGTGAGTTTTTGTTGATCTACTCGGCTTATAACCCGTTGCATCTCGTTATCGTCTCGTATGCTTTCGCGTAAACGTGCAAATTTTTACATCGGTATAGATCGAACAAAAATGACGCCATTTTGTTTCGAAAGCTTCGGAAATCTCTTCTCTGGAGGTAGATCAGGTGTGTAACGACGTCGAAGGCAAATAATGCAAGGAATTTCGTACTATTGCGCAAGCAAATTTTATTTCGGCAAACATATGGGTGCTGATTTTTTTGGATGTGAAAGCGATGCATGCGGGTATCGTCGCGATTTTTATGCAGAAGGTAAAAGATCGAAAGCGCACGCGTATATGCACCCGAGTAGATTTCGATGTTCAATTATGCAACATAATATCATGGGACACGCGTTTCTCTGCGCGTGCATACGTCAAAGATCTCGCGTCGATTGAAACGAAGAAACAATGGAAATTTATTAAAACGTATGTCGACCATCCTTTTTGCATTTTACCACTTGTAACAGACTCGTAATATCTGTGACGAAATTTCACCGGTATGCAAATAATTGCCACTGCGAGAATGGATTATTGTTCCCGTTAAAGTTAAATTCTATCGCGTTACTAGCACTTTCACTGTGCGTTACGAATGTCCAGAATCGTTTTTTACAATATCATTGTCGTGTTAATATTACCGCATCATTATCAAGTTTTATGTTATCTCTTATTCAGTATCTTAACGTACAGTGTACAATACGTCAAACGTCGTTTACGCGCGAACGCGTGTACAGCGATTTGCAGATCGGTAACGCACGGTTCCTTTCGGCAAACATCGGCCAAACCCGTTCGCGTTCGAGCATTTTCGCATCCCGTTCCTACGAACTTAACCTTATTACGCATCGTGAACCGATCAGCCGACACTGTCTTTTTTTGCAAATTCTTTCATCGATCTGACACTTCTATATCGTTCAATCAATAAAAAACAAAAATATTTTATCCTCTGGTTTTTTTTTTTGTTATATTTACATGATCGCATACAGTCATTCATTTTAAGAGGATACTACGACCGTCTTGCGATCATGCGTTCACGTTGAATAACCGATTAGGTAAATAGAGTTCTCAGGTACATACGCAATAAAGAAATTGATTTAAGCCACCGTCAATGTTTTAAAATGCAGTTGGCAGATTGAATTTTTTTTCTCAAGCTTAGGCGCGCTTCGTCCGCGTAAGGTTCGAATGTTTGAGCAGTTTACGCGCATTAATAGGAGGACGATTCGAATGAAGCGTCTAATGCAATTCGAGTAACTGGGTCTAGGCCCTCAAGGCCCAGCGATTAAGCGAATCTCGAAACAGGCTCTGTCGCAATTACCGCCTTTGCACGCCGTTTTCCACGGCGTTCCTACAGCGGCAACGGGGATTGCTTAACGCGGAAAGTTTCCAGAGTGCTTGCGAGCGTTTACGAAAGGAAGCAGTTTCTTACTTGCACGCTATTCAGAAATGTAAAAAAACGCTCCTCCGCGTACGAAGTTTGCATCGATTTCCCATAACGGCTCGTGCAATTTCTTCTCCCATCGTCCATCTTCATTTTTAATACATTTTTGTGAATTCATTTAACGTACTACAGATACCAAGACGATCACTTTTCACTATGATAACGCGAATTGATTTCCCTATTCCCTAAAGCCCTCCATGCTCGCTACTGTACACTCTAGCGCAATGTAGATTTATTTTATCTAGGGATAAGAGTAGAAGGAGGAGTCATCTTCTGTTTATTTGTAATTTTTAGAGAATCCACGTTGCACGTGACTGTACATACTAACAGCTGCGTGAAAGTGTACATATACGCCTTTAACAGTCAAAGGGTTAAATACGTTTGCCGGTCTATCGTGCGATAACACCTGTCACAGTTCTACAACGGACCTGCTATTTGCAGTGGTCCGTGAATACGAGAACGAGGCTCATTCAACGTAATGAACGTTACCTCGTACCTGCTTTATAACCGATTGAAAACCATCCTCTCCTGGAAACCATGAATTCATCCCCCAAGGCGTGCACATTTATTAACTCAAAAGATTGTGTACAAGTCTGACAAACGAGGCCTTATCATTGTCATTTGGACAGTTTATTTCTGGTGTTTTGTATAATTTCGTAACATTGCACGGTACAGAGGGTGAATAGAAAATTAAACGTTAAAACAGCCGCGACAGTGGAAACGGACTTGTGTAGTCAGACATATTAGAGGTTCAATTCTTCAAATATTTTTCAAGATTGTAAAGCTCCTTTTCGTGACTCTTACTATCACTCGATTATCCTTCCCCTCGGTAAATCGATGAAGCTTCTTTTCGTGTTCGAAAAAAAGCCAGCTCAACAAACTGTGCACACTCGTTAAACTTGGTTCGACAGAAACGAAACACCGTGTACGCGTTCGTTGGATTTTTAATTTCACTTTCGAACCCAGACCGTCATATGTGTACGGACATGATCAAATATTGACACTGGGCGTTCAATTTCGCAGCTGCGAATATTTTGACTGCTCGTTCACTGTCCTCATATCCATTCTTCTCTTTTTTTCTTGCCTTGACGACAAACTATTTCACTTCGGCGTCTCGTTCGATTTCACCAAAAAAAAAAAAAAACCACATACTTGATTGTTTAATTTTAAACGAAATTCCTAGATAATTTAGCAAATCTATTTCTATTCTCCGTTTTCTTGTACCGTGAAACGTAAACGATATTTTAGACTTTGAAAAGCTAAATCTATATGGACGAATACATATGTTACACATTCATTTCTGGATGTACAGTTATAAAATTATGTAATCAGGTAATCATTCAGAGAATAACATTGGCACGAGAAACTTGAAATAACTTATGCAACGGTTATACGACATTATATTTCTTTTTCTTAATTGCTTCCGAAAGAATAATCGTATTTTTCCTTGTGTCTAATGCTTAATTATTTTTAAAAATAAACACAACGACGATCGTGTAGAGTTGGAGGAGTTTCTTCGTAAATTTCTTAATCTACCGGTAAACAGATTTCATTTCCGCTCAAATAACGCCGAACAAACGATTGTTTGATATCCTTAGGTTTCACTTTCTCATTTGAAGAAGAGTATAAGATCCACGTGTGCCGAATTCAAACCTTCGAACAGTCTTTATCTACTTAACACGTGGACTTCGATAGTGGATAATTTTGCGAGGAAACGATATTCCTTCGAGACGGTAATCAAAGTAATTGCGTTCATTCGGAGGGACGCGTTACAGGGTCATTTATGGTTCCTAGGTTTTAGGCATCTGGTTGGTGGCCGATATAAAAAGTTTTGCTCTCTGAATGTGGGTCTTAGAAACTACATAGCTTCTCAGGCGCCTTTCCTTTTCGTCATTAGCCGAGAGAGATAGAGGGGAAAAAAAAAGAGTCATTTCAACCGATCCCAACGAGTTCGTTTCTTTTTTGGACAAAGGGGCAGATTTGTCACGTGGAGGCAGGCAAACGCGTGTTCGAAACGACACGTCTCGTCGCGAACCGGTGAAAATTGCGCAAGTTAGATCGAGAAATTTTGAGGTAGGACGTTTCGTGTGTTCACATAATGCCGGCCGAGTGAAAGCCTTTCGACGGGGCTTGACAATTTCTATTAGATGACCGAAATGTATTTTCACCGACCGACCACACACAGCCAGTGAAATTAGAGTCGAAAAATTCGTTTGCCACTTTCGACGTCCGAAAGTTTCTTCGGACACTTGTTAGGCACGAAAAGATTCGCCACTTGTGCTACTTAAAAGATTACTTCATTGATATTACTTAATAAAAAAAAAATGCTGATTCGATGGTACATCCACGGTATCGATGTTCCAACTACACGATCAGATTTATTTATTCTCTGAATGAATTATTCGAAGATTTCATAACTTTCGACGGAAATAATCCTCCCACCTCTTCTTCGAATTATCATCTTTTTCACGAATAAATTCGAGGGCAAAGCGGATACTTTCTTTTGAGGATTGGTCCATTAGAGGTACATTAGAGGTACAAGGTGTACCTGGGTCAAAGAGAAATTGATGGGAGCATTCGGGTGGTCCTAAAAGCGAAATGTACAGTATTTTCATTTAGAATAATACACCGAAGGCACAGCATTAAAACTAATAACGACAGTTCGTACCGTTTACGACTTGCGAAAAGACCATCTTTCGCATCTGTCAGCCACGTGGACCCGTAAACGAGTATACGTTTAACGGTCAAAGGAAATTCTCTGAACACGTTCGATTAGCCCTGTCGATTCCCCGGGACATAGTTGGTTCCTGTCGTAAAAGTGAGAGCGGTCACCGGTCCGCGGAGTAGTTAAAATCGGTCAGCACATTTCGAACGGGGCCGGTAGGTCTTGGTTTTAGGATCCGCCATGAGATTACATTATGGAAGGGGAGGGGACCTAGAAAATCAGGCGGGACGGCGGAAATCGTGGCATGCGCCTCTGTGTTTAGAAACTCACGAATTTCATAATTATTGTATTATGTTGCAAGAAGGTGCTATACCTGGCCGACTGCCTGCCTGCCTGTCTGCCTTGCCTGTTTGCTTACCTGCCTTGCCTGCTTGCTCGACTCCTACCTTCGGTGTTCAGGCGCGCGCGCGCGCGAATCAGCTCGATAGGTGGGGGAGAAAGGTTAGGTTGAGGCGGGGATTGTGTAATCCCTCGTTGAGTGGAGCCTCACCGTCTTCTTTTCGTCGAAGCTTTTATTTCTTTCTTAAATTATTCTCTCTCTCTCTCTTTCTTTCTCACTTTCATTCTTACCCGCCCGAATTCATATCCTTCGTACGCACACATACAAGTAGGTCGACGTACAATCGTATCGTCGCGTGTACCATCTACGTCACACAGGTACCTCGATACGCGTAATATTGAAATTCTTCGCAAAGCTTATAGCCTAACAGTCGGTAAAGCGCGCGATTATTGGAGCAAGAATAACCTACTTTATTAAGGATTGAAATACCAGCGACTAATCTCAGATCCGCGAAACGGTTATCGAGTATTAATGTAATTATCGTTACGTGAACTACTTTTGTCGAAGTTCAATTGGAGCAGCGTGTGTGTAGTAGGTATCATCGCTTGGTAAAACAGGACACCTAACCTACACGTGCATAGGTATATCATGGCGTTTAGTTCGCGCGTGGCTATTGGTTTTTTCCTTCTTTTCAACCAGTCGGAAGATCATGTTCTTTGTTCGACTAGAAATTCAGCAAGGGGTTTCTGGTCGACGATTTTGTCCTTTATTTTTTTGCGTTCTTTCGCAATGCGCGGATGACTTCACTAACGGTCGGGCGCGTCGCGTCGGCTGCGTCACGGGGGGAACTTCTCTCGCGCGATTGGTCCAAGCATGGGCGACGGTAGTCACGTGGCTGCACATTAATTTCTATGGGGAGCGCCTGACGTCAGTGGACCCGTGGACCAGATTTGCCAAGTGGGTTTCCCTTTCTTTTCGACATACGCGCTCTCGGGTTCGGTGCTCTTGCGTACTTATCGTCGCCGTCGTCGTGGACCTTGCGAACCGGACGTGGGTTGCATTCTTTCAATGGTTTGCACGCGTTTCATTGCACGTGGATCTCTCCCGTGCACGCGTTTGCACTTCAAAATATACGAAAAATTCGAAGCGCATTTGTTTTACCCCTGCTGCTTTCATTAGTCGTAATTATTTCGCGGAAAAGAAAGGTCGAATCGTTGAACATATTTAAAATTTTTTATCATAGATACGCGTTATCGACTAATGCTACTATTAGCAAGCGGAAAGAGGTATAATTTTTTATCTCCGTTGCTGCGTTCACGGACAGCAAATATACATTACTTTATTTACGATAACAGTCGATTCAATACCTTCGTTTGCATAACTTTGTATAAAATTACGCGAATCCCCTTTTCTTCGAGCGGCTGCTCCCAGTTGTCGCACCTGCGCGTCTATGACCGAACGCGTGCGTTCAAGTTTAACTTTTTCACGGTTCCCATTATGGATGTATGTTAATGGTAACTTTGTAACATAATTTAATACCTTGACGAGCCGATGCTCGAAAGAAACCGCATGTTAATTTAAACTCTTCCGGTTTTTTGCTACCTTCGTTTCCTCTGAGAATTTTTCCACTTGAAAAATAAGAGATCACCCCTCGTCGGTCATTAATTCCAGAAAAATGCAACTTTTCCGGTAGGTGTGCGTTTCGGTGTTGCATAATAAACGAAGCCACCGAGTGTGCACGGTTTCTCTAACCATTGACGATCGATGGAAAAACGTCCCGTGTTGTATTTAACACATTTATATGCCGCTTTGGTAACACCGCGTCGCTGGTCTTGCCAAATCCCAGCGCAACCAGGCTCGATGCTTCTCTCTCGCAAATCGAACGGGACAATAGATATATAGGTGTCACGATCGTGATCAATGATTCTTCGGAGAAATTTTCACGGGGTTCGAATAAATTCGGTATACTTTTTGTCTCGATAATCTCGATCTTCTAGCAGCGGTCTCCCTTCGAGGGAGGAGACGAAAAGACGCAATAATATGTAACGCGGATAGAATCATCCATTGTCCTTTTACATCACAAAAGCTTCCATTGTGCCTCCCTGGTGAAATGTATCGATGATTCCGTATCGTTCGTATAATGGAATCGAGAAATCCATTGCGCAACGATGCAATTTTGTGCGTCCTGTGTCGACGAGCTTCCGGTATTTACACCGCCGAGACACAATGTTCCTCTGGTCTGGTCACGCGTTTCCACGGGTTCCGACCCACTGGGCGGCCCGGAATGTCGTGCTTTGGCATATATATACTTAAACGATCGTCCGATCGAATCGTGCCGTATATCGATACGCTAATACCCTGTACCCACGCGAAACTCCGCCACCCACTCGGCCCGCAGACGTGCCCTCCTCGTTGCCGCCAGTTTCAACTGTTTAACGCGAAAACGTGGAAATCGCGCGAACACACGTGCTCCGCATACGCGTCGTACGAATTACGGAATATTGCGGTACTGGGGTGGAAAGAGTTTCATCGAGTTTTACAATCTCTTGCATTTTTGTACACGTCAGAAAATAATAGCGATGCCAGCAGGTGAAAGTAGTTTTGCGTGTCAAGCAGTTTTATTTTAATGAAATTGCATTGCACAAAGATTTTTACGAAACAACGCGACCTATAGGCCGCCCGTGTGCGTTCTCCGCCGCGTCGGTCGGTCGAAGGAGTAAAGTTTAATTTTCTTGCGAATTCGTCACTCGAGAGGGTTGATTTCCGCTTTGTAGTAGAGACGTCGCAATTTCCTCCGCGCTCCGGTGCACCTGGCTTCGAATTAACAGAAGAAATATCGTCAAGGTGGTTTGATAGAATCAAGTTTAGCTACGATGTAGGTCAATCATAGTCTTCCTCGAGGCATTGCTCTCAAGGAAAGAAAGAAAATAGAGGAAAGTGATATAAAATAGTCGTTACACGTGTTAAATAAGTGACCGGTACAACGCGGTGGCTGGTTGGTTGCGTAGCTTTTAAACGAGCCATCGAGAACAAGTGGCCGAAAGCAACAACCTGAAAGTCAAGTTTAGCAACTTTCGTTATTGGCTTGCTCTCGTCGACTATTGTCTGAATTCTCTCAGCTAGTTGCTTGCGTGTAAGTAGATTATTAGATAGAGAGAAAAAGATAGTGTCGTGGAAAAAGAGGAGCGTGGCGCGCGTTCACCGCGTCTGATACACGCTCGCGCGCTTAATCCTTCGGATGATGGATGACGTTCGCTTTGCATACCGTTCGTCAGGAATTAATAGGAGAAAAGTTGGAGAAACGAATGCAACCGTCGAATGTCAAGTTTACCGGCCGATCCGTCGCGTGACTGTAGAGGAAGTTGGAGCTTCGAAACGAGAGATAAACGATTCATCTCGATGGAGATAACGCGAACTCCTCTTTGGAAGAAGGTGTAGCTGACGTCGCGAAAAGGGAGAAGAGCTGTGCGACCCGGAAATAATCGAGGTAGATACACCTCTTGGTCGCAGATGTTAGGACAGTGCGTAACCACGTTGCGTCGAGGGAGGGATTGGAAAAAGGGCACGGAGAATCGAGGAAGGGAAGAGGAGAAAGAAACAGAGCGAAAAAGATGGTGGCGTTGGAGGAGGAGGAGGAGGAGGAGGCAAAGGGAATATCGCGGGAGAGTAAAAGAGAGGAGAGAGGAGGGAGGAGGCGTAAGCGGGTACACAGACAGGGTGGCGGAGGCGGCAATGTGGATCGGCGGGGCGAGGTGTTGAGGGAAGTAGGGTGGCTAGGGAAGGGAATAAGTAGGGTTAGGTGGCGGCGGGGCGATGGAGGAATCGACGGAGGTGTCGGAGGCAGAGGGGGGCGGCCCTCCTCCCTCTGGGGGACGGCTCAGGCAGAAGTGGACGGGCAAGCGATTCAACCTCCTTTCACTTTCAACGAGCGCGCACCGCGCTTGCTTGCTTGCTTGCTTGCTTCGTGTGTTTCTGCCGACGACGGATAGAGCAAACACTTTGTACGAAAATAGGCAACGCTGCCAATTTAACCGCGTGTCCACCCTACAAATTGTAAATCATTCAAAAATCCTCCCCCGATTGCACCCTTCCTTCGTAAGAGATGGGGCTAGCCCGTAACTGAGCGATTTCAATGTCAATACAGGCACACATTATTCGAAGTATTAGACATAGACATTATATTGTATTATCGGGAAATCGTGTGTTAAAAATGCCCGAGATACGGGGAACGCTCGCCATCGGGCACACGACCTGCTGCTCCGGGAGCGTTGCCATACCCGCGAACTTTCTGCACATCGCGATGCACATCGATGAACTAGCAGCACCTTTTATGGCGCGAGACTTTCAGTAATTCTTTCCCTTGTTTCTTTCCGATAAACGTTCGAAAGTCGACGGCGGATGCCGTTTAAAATGTTGACAAAGCAGAATAATTTTAGCGTCTCGAGACGACGAGGGGCAATCAGTTTTTCTATAGCGTTGGTAGAGAAAAGAGACTGGTTCTTTAATGCGCGTCTTGCGAGGGCACAGTATTAATCCCTGGCCGACTAGGGGGATCCATATCGAGTTCCTCTGCTAGGCCACTTCCGACCCCCAGACCACACATCTGGCCAGCTCTCTTGTTTACAATGTGATGTAGCTTAACTCCTGCGATGTAGCAACACACGATGCTGGTGTTGCTGTAATATCGAAAGATTCCCTTCTTCGATAGGTTTTTTTAACATTTTCCATTAGAGTTTTAGCATCCTCCGGATCGAATGATATAAAGCAGGCTCGTTTAAAGAATATTAATATTAACGAACCGGTGAACAAACAGAGTATGTTAACAGGTTGTCCCTTGCAGGCTAATCGCGAGCAATAAATAATCGGCGTTGGCAAGTAGCAACGGTTCGCTTTCAACAGTGACGCGTTCAACGTGCCAAATAACACCTGCAGCTTTCGTAGGTGGAGATCCATGTTTCGCGCCGTAGATATAGCCGTTTACAAGATACGAGTAGACACTTGTTCGGTCGATCGAGGGGAGGAACAGGAATAGTTGCTCTTTTGTCCAGTCGGCCTGCAATTATCCGAAATTCTAGTCGCTAAACGAGGGGCGAAGAGAAAAGAACAATTAGAAAGTAAAGGAACCTGTGTTTCGCGTTATTTGGTATTCACGAAAAGTTTGGAAAATAACAATAAATTCAGACAGCGTCGCGTCGCGTCGCGTCGCGGGTACAATGACGAGATGATGGAACGTGCTGTTCGGAGCCGTTCTTACAATTGCTTTTTTTTCTTTTGTAGCCGTGCGAGCGGACCGGATGAGAGGCGGTAGGAACAAATTTGGACCCATGTACAAAAGAGACCGAGCGCGGAAGCTGCAAATGATGAGACAACGGCAGCTGGCACTGCAAACGATACGCGGCAGCCTCGGTGACCCATCGAACTATCCCTCCGCCGTAACGCCTTTCCTGCATATTAAACAGGAGATCCAAATACCTCAGGTCTCGAGTCTAACGTCTTCCCCAGATTCGAGTCCATCCCCCGCAGCCGTGGCCGCTGGTCTGGTCACGACCCAAGCTGGCAGCGGAGCTGGTCAGCATCAACTGATCGCACCGTCCTCACAGCCAAATATTTCTGGCGGTAATCACCTACACAACCTCAACCCTGGCCTGGATAGCAAACTGTGGACTGCCAATTCCACAACCCCTAGTCCTAAGGCCTTCAACTTCGGCGAACAGTCGACGCAACCTCACGGGCCGACTGGTTCCGCACCCTCGACCGCCACCTTGAAAACTAGTCCGATGATAAGAGACTTCGTGCAAACGGTCGACGACCGCGAGTGGCAGACATCGCTTTATGGATTGTTGCAAAGCCAAACGTACAATCAGTGTGAAGTGGACTTGTTCGAATTAATGTGCAAAGTGCTCGATCAAAATCTCTTCTCGCAGGTGGACTGGGCTAGGAATTCTGTATTCTTCAAAGATCTCAAGGTTAGTGCAAATAAATTGTTCCTTGTTGTTATGGGGAGCCTTTATGAAGAACGGTAGCCAGACGGGTCTGTCGTAGCCCGGACGACTAAAATAATTAGAAAATAACTTTGAATTAGCAAAGATTCAAAGACTCCAAATTTTTACCGTCGTCTATGCGTTATTGAATTTTTCTTTTTATTTATTTTCATCGAATCAACGATATATAACGTAGATAAACGTGTTACAATGGTTTATATTTAAACGAAGAATTTTTAACCATCGTTGGGAATCTTTTCAAGAGAAGTTAGTTCTTACCGATAAATAACTCGTCGCTGGCCTGTTGGTAGTATGAGCGGGGATGTGAGGTAACCAACAGCATTGCACAATCACTGAATGATTTCAAGCATCGCCTCATATCTAGGTCATAACAAGATACGTTTCTGGGTTATGGCGGTTGCCCTAAAGCAGGCCCATGTTAATTATAAACCGTCTACATTAACCGATTATATTGTTTTTACTCTTTCTTTTTTCTTCTTTTTATTTTATGTAGACTTATAAAAAACTCCGTCACGATTTCATTGATACATCGAGTCATGACTTTTCTATTTTCCGAACAATATGGAGCAGAGATACAAAGTTTTTACCACTGTTTAGATTATTCTTTGTAAAAATTAATACAGTAGTTTTTGTTTTTTTCAACGAATACAATTTTCGTTTGGATTTTACACTGAATAGCGGTGTTTCACGAGGCAATGGGACAAAAATTGTTACATAGTAATATAATTATTTTTAAACAGGTTGACGACCAAATGAAGTTACTACAGCACTCCTGGTCGGATATGTTGGTGCTTGATCATCTTCATCAAAGGTTACACAATAGTCTACCTGATGAGACTACGCTTCATAATGGCCAAAAGTTTGATCTCCTTTGCCTCGGCCTACTTGGAGTTCCTTCCTTGGCAGATCTTTTCAATGATTTATCGTCGAAACTTCAGGAACTGAAATTCGATCCTTCGGATTACATATGCATGAAATTCTTGATGCTGCTCAATCATGGTACGAGTTTATGCATATATCAAAATCGCACTATATGGAAAAGAAAAAAAAAAAAAATCCGACAGATTTTGATATGACCATTTTTGTTTGACTATGTAGAAGTTCGTGGATTAGTTAACAAGAAACATGTGCAAGAAGGTCACGAACAAGTTCAACAAGCTCTTTTGGATTACACATTGACATGTTATCCTTCTATACCGGTACGTTTATTTTATGTACGAATTTATATTAGTTGTGTTTGATTAAAAATTTTCGTTTATATTGAATTTTCTATGAACAGGATAAGTTTAATAAGCTGCTAGCAGTATTACCAGAAATCCATGTGGTAGCAAGCAGGGGAGAAGATCATCTTTATCAGAAGCATTGTAGCGGTGGAGCACCAACTCAAACACTTCTAATGGAAATGCTTCATGCTAAGAGAAAATGAAACGATAGATTCGTTTGGCATTTTTGCCATGAGTTAGTCTATTATTGTATCTCAGAAAACAAGATAATGCCCCTTATTGTCAGAGTGGACCTCAAGTACCTATTAAGAGCTAATGCTGCTTAGGTGTTGGACCAAGTTTAAGGGGCCCTGGTTCAATAAATACCTAACGCAAAACAAATCAAGTATAGACGTACATACTTTACATATATACATAATATATATGTATTATAAAGTGTATCTAAATATATAAACATAATGACATATATTTTCTATATTTGATGTTGAAGTTTTAGAGATGTATCCATGGAGAATTATTACCCCTGTTGATGGGTACAAGCGCAGGGAAAACAGTAAGCAAGATGCCTTGAAAACAGTACAAAGGGTGGTTAACAAAATATTGGTCAAAGGGCAGGCAACTTTTATCTAAATAAGTAAAGCTATTTTTCTAATACTAGAAGCGATTATTTTTAAGCATATACCACTGAAGCCTTGCTCTCATTTGAACAAAAAAGATATCCTAATAGTAACAAGAAAGAAAGAACGAAAGAAAGAAAGAAAGAAAGAAAGAAATTGCCGACTCTGCGGTCAATCATGCTTCTGCAAGGGATTCAATGGGCATACTTGAACGACAGTTTTAAAAAAAAAAAATTTCATGTGATATACTTATATATACATATATAGATATATGTCGCACGGCCACCTGGGCATCCTTAGAACTTCCTATGAAAGAAAGAAAATAACTAATCTGCATTTTGTCACACTTGCACACAGCAGGGCTATTATATTGTAAATACTAGTTAACACATTCCAATTACGTTGTAAAGTATGAATCATGTTAAATATGTAATTATAATATTTTGTGTATAGTTTAATAAAAATAAATATATTTCTGTTGCTTACTGAGAAAAGAAAATCATTAGCTACTTAATGTCTTCACTAATTTTAGAGTTTTATTCATGTATTTTTCTTCTTTTATTATTTTTCAAATAGGTGGCGGAAAAGAATAACCAGAAAAAATTTGCGATATCTTATAATTGTATATTGTATCATAATAAAGATTCTGTTTAAGAAATAAAAAAAGAATCATTGGAGCAAGGTTTATGTGGTCCTACATTATCTAGCGATTAATACTAAGTATAATAAGATCAATATTGTCTTATCGCAGTTGTTAAATAGATAAATATTTACTGAATGTTAAGATAGCGATCGAACGTAGTAATTTTTCACTAATAGATTATTATTGTTTAGTCAATAGTCAGAAACTTTTCAGTGCTGTGAAGGTTGTCTTTTCGACGCCTGTGGTATCTATGCCATCGGTAAATTACACGTGCTACATTCGAGGCTCAAGCGTGGCAACAGGAACAGAAATCTTTGCTCGTACTGGTAGGCTGGTAGTACCACCCTTTGCAACTCCTACTGTTTATATATCCTCTATCAAAGAAGTACCTGGAAAAATAAAATGCTATTTTACTACTTTCACTTTTCCACCGACTTCGATATAAGATGTTAAATATAGATGTAAACAATTTGTTGATGTATGTAAAAAGAGAACTCGATGCCACATTAGATTAAGAATCGAGTGTTGAATCAAATCAGGAGGAGTAGCTGCGAGTAATACTACCATGAAAAATATATACACATATATATATATTTTCGAAAGCATGCATGTACTTATCGTGTGAGTAAAGATTTGTGTCCATGGTCAAATTTTTTGCAAATCTTCGACACAGATTATTAAAGATAATGATAATAATAATTGAAGAAAAAAAAAACAAAACTGTATTAACGTGTTCCCAAATTTTCAAATCGTCTGGTTCTTTTCTTGATTGATCGATATTTGAAATAGAAAGTTTACATTATTTTTGGCTCTTTAAAAATATTAAAGAAAACAAAAAAAATGCATTACTTATATTTAACTCGCATATAAATGTCTACCTCTTCATAACTGTATTAAGTCTTACATTTTTACATTTTTAATAAACCACATACCTCAGAATAGACACCCAGATAGCAAATTAAATGGAATGTATGAATGTTACCTACGTAGACTTAACGTCTACGACTTCTGTAATATGCGTAACAAACAAAATATAAAAAGTTCCATTCAATTATTGTACCCACTGTATTTCCATGTTAACTATGTTAGTTATCGTTATGTTTATTCCAAATTAGTCTATACTTGTACATGGCATGTACAAAAATACATCTAAATCGAACTTTATAGCTACTAACGAAATTTTTCAAACTCTACTTAATCCTGTATTGCTGTTTGGGTAAAATCAAATTGAAATCATATTGTTTTTATTTATTATTATAATACCATTCATCATCATGACATTTCGTAGAACGTGTCGGTCTGATAATTTTGGAACAATCAACAACTAAAAATTACAAACACAAATACTTCAGAAACGAAAATTGTCTCTTCTAAATACGATCCCTGAATCAATGATATTTGTATGTATCCATCCTATTTAATCGTCCGCTCGATTCTGTTATAACATGTTTAATTAATAATTGTAACTAGGAAATACGAGACTAGTGGTGTTATAAGCATTATGTTAAATATGTACAGTTACCAGTTATAATTGGCAAACAATCTAATTTAATATCGATGTGATTTTTTGATCCAATAAATAATTGGAATTAACCATTATACAAAAGAGAAAAAAAATATGCGTTGTTAACACTGCCATTAGGAGTTGGCAATTGTAAATTATGTAGAAAAAAAAAAACAAATGATTGATTGTAAATATATCTTTATTATTAACTAATAACTGTTCCTTCTTAGGATTGACAGCGCTATTTTTTATATATTATACTGATTGAACTCCTATTAAACAATAATATTTCCCTAATTGCACTCCTATCTTTGGTATTATTGTAATAAAATGATGTGCAATGCCCAAAGGACGTATGATAGATATCAAAAGGAGGGTAAAGGATGGTACTATTTAAATTATTAAGCAGACAATTTTCAGAAATTTACAAGTAGTATTTCAAAACATTCTATAATTGTTTTCTTTATACATACAAGATATTATTTAAATGCGTTTATGTACAACACAACAAAGTTTAATATAATTTGTAACAATGGTGTCATTCATATACAAAATAACATCTATATTTAAAACATTTATTTGCTTTGTACAAATAAGGTAACAACATAAGAAAATGCACAGTGGTTAATAAAGACATCGGCTAACTACTGCATTTAGCTTCATATTCTTTATTCACACTGTTTATATGTTATATAGTATGTGTATTTTATTAAACGTATTTACTTATAATCTTATAAAATTCTGCCTCTACATAGTTCAAAGACAAATTATTTTTTATGTTTATATATGTTGATTTATCTTACTTGAGGCACCTATTTTCCTTGTTCAACACGGTTCTCTTTTTCGTGTAGTTATTCATCTTTTAATCTAATCAAAAAAATTAATACACCTGTTGAAATATTTCATAACAGATTTATAAAACCATAATTAATTTTACAGCGAATTTACTGAATACTTTATTTCGCTACCAGTCAGTGAAGGATATAATTAACTAGTAGTATAACAGATTTCAAAAAGCTTAGACTGTTGTAATTAGGAAAAGTAAATGCCTTTTACTATTCAATGAATTTTCTTCTTTAAACAAAAGCTCAAAACATTATTAGGGATCTGCTAGAAGAAGCATTTTAAGATGGAACACTGTGAACATTTTAAAAAGACCGCTATAAATTTTTTAATATTCGATCCTAGCGCCATCTATACAATAACAGCTGAAACTACTCGATGATTTACCGATGTGGCGGCCGGCGTCGAAGTCGGTAATGAAGAAAACACCCATTTTTGCTAATGATTTATTTTATATTAATAAATTCAAATAACTATTCTGTACGTTCATTCCTTCAATATTCTTCAAACTGAAAAGACATGTTAAATTTTCAATTCTTTATTTCTCAATTATTAATATAAAGAGGCGACCGCTAGCGCCATCTATTGGTGCAAAGCGGAAGCTATGCCGGTAAGAAGTTTCCAGCATTTCCCGACAGGTGGTGCTAACCAGTCGATAAGTTGCTGAGTAGTTTGCGCCGCTATTGTATAGATGGCGCTGGAATCGAACCTTTAAAAATTTAATTAATAGCGGTGTTTTTAAAATGCTAATTTATTATTGATAGCACGTTTATTACTCCATTAATTAAATAATTTTTCCATCTTGTAGGCCCCTGTGGCTCGGGGGGATTAGAATACAGCCACGGTATCCCCTGCCTGTCGTAAGAGGCGACTAAAAGGGGACACACACACACACACAGTCTCAAGCAAAAAGTATGGCGAAGAAACAATGTAAAATGCAAAAAAAATGCGCGGGGTTAGGGTATGGTTTCCATCTTGTATTGATTTTAATAAATTTTTAAAAAACATGAATCGACTATACTCTGTCCGCATAAAAAAATTCCCATTAGGGGTGCTTGGAACCCCAAAATCATCTGTAGTCACTGGAGCTTATAAATTCGTGTGGTTCCTCGTTTTTTGCATTGTTTGTATCATTCTATGGTTTGTATTGTTTATTGATTGTGATGTCACCATAAGCTTTATATTGAAGCCTTCATCTGCTAACGATACTTGTCTATCATACTAGTAAATATAATGCTTACAATACAATTTGGGCAATGTGGAAATCAACTAGGGCATACATTATTTTCAAAAATATCATCTGATTTGGAATGTACAAACACAGGGATATCATATAATGCTAATTATCAATATTCAGAAGATACATTTAATAAATGGTTTAATGGTATATCTAAACATAATAAATGGTTACCAAGAGCAGTTCTTATAGATACAGAAGAGAAAGTAATAAGCAAAATTTATAAAGATAGAAGTACACCATGGACATATTCAAAAGAAAGTATCATTTGTCAAGCTGGTGGTGGTTGTGCAAATAATTGGGCTTTTGGTTATTTAAGGAAAGGACCAGAGTTAAGCAGTTTAGTTTTAGACTGTGTAAGACAAATATTAGATGTAACAGACTATTTTGACGGGTTTCTGTTACTTCTAAGTTCTGCAGGTGGAACAGGATCTGGGATTGGTAGCTTTATTGCACAAACATTAAGGGAAGAATATAGAACAAAACCAATTATTACTACAACAATATTACCATTTTCCTTTGGGGAAGTATGTACCCAAAAGTATAATACATTACTGACATTGGCAAAACTCTATAATCAATGTGACATAAATATTCTGATTGAAAATGAACAAGTACATAATATAAGCACAAATTTATTAAAGAAATCCAATACAACATTACAGGATATTAATGCAATTATTTCAGAAAAGTTATTAGCTATTTTTCAACCATTAAATGATACAAACATGAATTCATTGTTGTCTCAGATAGCATCTCATCCTTCTTATAAATTAGCAACAATCAAAAGTACTCCACATGTATCTACAGTATCTGCAGAATATGAACCTGTATGTAACTGGAATTCATATGTACATCATCTAAAACAAACACTTCGAATACCCAACTTAAACATGCAGTTAACTAATGCTGAATTGAAAGCACCAACTACCTCATTTAGTAGCAGCACACATTATGTATATGCCTGTTCAGTATCAAATATTTTAATAACACGTGGACTTACAACAGATAATGATTCTATTGTCACTAGTGACTTTAAAGAGAAAAATTTGTATGCAAATTGGAATACAATTGATTGGTTTTCTCACTTACACCAAAATAGAAAAATTTTAAACCATGAGAAATTTCTTGCCTTATTAACTAATAACTCCCAAATTTCGAATCCTTTAGATTTACTTTTAGATAAAACCTGGAATTCCTATGTTCATGCTGCGTTTTTACATCAGTATAAACAGTATGGTTTGGAAGAAGATGATTTTTTACAAGCATTTGCCCTGCTTGAAAATGTTGTAAAAGAATATAAAGAATTAGTTGCTCACATGAACAAATAATAAATTGTGGGAAATTGTTTATTGCTCTAAATACAGTTAGCTACATAAGTAATTGAACATGTATGGTACTTTTTCAATGCAGACGTTATGACGTGTATCTCTGTATCTCTTACATCCCTGAATTTCTTATATCCCTGCATCCTTTACATCTCCGCATCACAGTATCTCGTACATCTTCGTATTCCTTACGTTCCCGAATTCTTTATATCCCTGCATCCCTTACGTCTCTGTATTCCTTAGGTCTGTCCATCCCTTATATCCCTGCATCCTTTACATGTCCGCATCACAGTATCTCTTACATCTTCGTATTCCTTACATTCCTAAATTCTTTATATCCCTGCATCCCTTACGTCTCTGTATTCCTTAGGTCTGTGCATCCCTTATATCCCTGCATCTCTTGCATCTCTGCAACTCTTATAATAAATATATTATAAAAACTGGTTCGAGTAAAGGTAAGTAAAGGTGAGTAAAGGTAAGTACAGGTGAGTAAAGGTAAGTATACTCACATTTTTGAATTTTTAAATTTTCAATTTTCGCCCTCTAGCGGGAAAAATGCGAACTAAATTTTCGACGTCGGTTCAGCGCCATCTGGTTTCGGAAAAAGGAACTAAACCTTGCATAAATTTTGGCCCTCTGGCGGCAAAAATGTGAACTAAATTCTCGACATCAAATCAGCGCCATCTGGTTTCGGAAAAAGGAACTAAATCATGTCGAAATTTTGGCCCTCTAGCGGGAAAAATGTGAACTAAAATCTCGACCTCGAATCAGCGCCATCTGGTTTCGGAAAATTGAACCAAATCATGTCGAAATTTTGGCCCTCTAGCGGGAAAAATGTGAACTAAAATCTCGACCTCGAATCAGCGCCATCTGGTTTCGGAAAAAGGAACTAAATCATGTCGAAATTTTGGCCCTCTAGCGGGAAAAATGTGAACTAAAATCTCGACCCCGAATCAGCGCCCTCTGGTGGCGAAAAGAGGAACTAAATTTTGCAAAATTTTTGCAAAACTTGGCCCATAAAGGATAAAAGTAATAACTGAGAGGGGTGGCGTTGGTCTATAAGGAGGGATAAAATAATAAATAACTGGAAAAAGTGAATAAATGAAATAACAAACCGGTTGCTTTTTTAAAATGATTTATTTACCAAGCCGCATGATATACAGCAATACTAATCTATACAGGCGATCTATACTACTATACTAATATACAGGTTTGTCAAACAATTATTGGAAGGGAATGGAAGGGAATCCAAATTGTGTCCTTTTAGTTGTCTGTGCCAAGTGTGGTAAAAGAGGAACTCGTGAAACAGGCACGATTGTTATACTGACTGTGCTCTCCTCATGTAGATCAAGCTTCACCTGGGGGGTGTCCGGGACCCCAAAATCAGGACTCCTCAAGAAGAAAGGCATGTATGTATAGTCTTTTTGTATCTGCAGGTACTGTACATACATACAATATAAGAAAGTGCTTCTGCGCCTGTGCAAAGGGGCAGCCAAATCTGTGGAGCAGCATAAAAGAAAAAGTTTTGACCATTTCCAAGAAATAACGAAAATACTTCCAGGAATTAATGGTCATCTCTTTCCCTCTCCTCTTACGCTCATCCGGGGAGAATCGAAAGGATAGATTTCTTGGAAATGTTTTCACATTATACAATATTGTTGTGTATAGTATACATAAATGTAACATTTTACATATTTGGCCTAAAAATAGTATTATTTAACTTACTCTATGAAACAATACAAACAAATATGTATTCTTTTTAATTTTTAAACGTAATGTTCTGTCGTAGATACATAAGGTTTTCAACACAGATGCATTTTCCAAATCGTTTTCTAACATCGGTCAAGCGTTACAGGTACATACATACATCTACGATTGTTAGAAACTCGTTTGCTGTCCCTTTTTCGCCCCCACTGTATATCCTGACTATTGAGTACCTTTAAGTATGCCCCACTCTTCGAAATCTAACAATAGTGTGTGTAGCTAATAAAAAGAAGAGAAGAATTGTCCGTATATCATTTAATGATACCTTTCAAAATATATGAAGCAGTTTTAGAATTGATAAAATCTATTTTCTTCCTACACAGAAATGAGAACGTAATATTTCGGAGCTTTGAATTAGCGATTTTTCGTATTACGGGGTTGAAGCAGTGGCGCCATCTAATGTGTACAGGGACAAACCTATTATTTTTTTAAACGGTATTAATCGTCACTAGATTATTATTAAATATTATAATAATACCTGTGTTACTGTTTGTAACTCTGATCTAATAATATTCGATGAATTAATCGAACTTTTATAAAAGGAATATGTAAAATTGAAGGTGCAGAGATTTCGTAGATATTCCGAAAAATATATGTTCGTCCCTGCAAACCTGCGCCCCGCTCACACATGCAATACAATACGCAGTTCGTATGCGTATGCGACTCGAATACCAAGAGGCGTAGTTTGAATAGACGAACCTGTTCGGTACTTTGTCCCCTCTGTCAGGAGAGAACAATATCCTTTACACTCACACAGAAAGCAGGCGCACTCTGGTGTCGAAGCTGTAGACAAAATGGTACGCGCCATTTTGTTTAGTGTTCGCTGGACGCGTCGTGCGTCGGGGTGGTGTAGGGTTGTTTTCGCGACAGTCAACAAGAATATATTCGCGATTATTTGAGCTTGCTTGCAACTAAACGTGTACAATAGTGTTTCAATTAAATCAGTGCAATATATGTATATTTTTCTGCATGATTATCGTGACGCGGTACACAAGGATCAGTTTTTTGAGAGTCGAGGACTCTCATGTCCACAGTGTCAGACTCGATAGTTGAAAAAAACTTTTGCAAATGCATGGCGCCAGTTACAATTACATGGATATTTTATAGGGAATCGTGGCTATTGCCGTCTACATCGGCAGATTTTTTTTCTACAGGTAAGAAAAGAGGGGTTGACTGTGCTTAATCGATAAAGCGTCTCTCCCATACTCTTTCCTCTTCCCCATTTTCAAACACCAGAGTTTCGCGTTCTTCTCTCTTCTACAAATTTCACGAGACCTATACTTAATACTTTTAACTCGACTTTTTTTTCTTTTTTCATGATAAATGTTGTACTCCCTAACTACTGTAGTGTTTCGCTTGTGCAAGCCGTTCGAGGAAAGTGAAAGCTCGTTCCTGATCGTTCTGCATTGGGTACGGATCTCATTGCGTCCGTCGCAGAGGCACACGTTTCGTACTACTCTCTCGCAGCGTTGCACAGATTGAAGCGTCACTGAGCCCAAACAGTCGGGCGCTTTCAACTATACTCCGATTACCTCTTTAATAGATGGGTCTATTGTTTTCGCATGAATGAGAAAAAGATATCCTTGAAAAGGGTCTAACATCGCGAACAAGTGGACTACCGAAATAATTGATTAAATGGGAAATAAAAAGATCTTCGTTACGGATAACATTAATGTTGCATAAGATTATTGCACATTCTTAATAGCATTTCGTAATGATTCAAATAGTCATCGAACCAGTAAAGTGTTAATGTAGAGTACTGGTACTAGAGTAATTTTACAGGAAACTTTCACGTTTAATTTTTGTTTATCTTTATGGACCGTAAAGTTCAAAGTGAAATTCATATTTTCATGAAAAACTTATATTAACGGAGATTACTTATCTTTAAATAATAATTATGTAAGTCTTTTCCTACAATATTTCTTGTTACTGCCTTACAGAAATGTCCTTGAACAGGTGAATTATATTGGATTTCGTTTCGCTGGTATTCAAATAGAAAATAATTCACAGATGTAGTAAGAATTATCTTCGAAATATTCACGATAAAACACTGATTATTTCAAAGTAAGTTACAAGTTACCGATCACCGTGATTCCATAGACAGCATTGCGATCACTGAATTTATCGGGTGATTTCAATGCTAGGAGGTGCAGGAAAACTGTGTAGATCGTATTACTCTAGCGAAAATGCTTTCTGCATTTAATATTTTATCTTTATATGTATAAATGTATCCGATGCATTAGTATTTCTACACAATTTCTTCGTAACATTTCAAGCAAAAATTTCTTCCGCGTCTAACCTTCGTTGCATCTCTTTTGAAGGGGTCGTGTTCGTTTGACCGAAGCGAGGGTGTGTTCACGTAAATAAGTAAACGCGTTCCTAGTCCTGAAAACCATGACCATGAAAAGAAAGGATGAATAACTAAAAGAAAAGAAAAAGTTAAATATCAAAACCATGAATACATAACGGCGGTCGTCGAAATTTATTTCATTTTTTTAAATATTATGATAGTAACGCAGGTGACGACACTTACAGGGTATTGGGGGTGAGACATAGTATATTCAGTTACCCTTATTAAATTTGTCGCTTTGCGTTAGTCATCCCCTTCTATAATAACATAATCTGATCTATTTTACAGTATACCACGTCTTAATATGTTCAGTATGGTGGTCAATAAAGCGACAAATCGGAAGAGACAAACACCCCTCTCATTACGATTCGTTCTTCCCCAACTTTACTCATAAGAGCGTAGTCTGAGAAACGAAGGGTGCAACGTGTTCACTCTTTTAGAACATCGATTTGTTAAGTCTGCAAAATTTTCAACCCCTTCGCTGTATGGACAAAAATTCACAGTTGCAATTATACAGTAAGATACATTTGGTATAACGAGCTTTTAATGATTTATAATATAATTTTGCATAATCTGAAAATATGTAATTGAAACGATAACGATTATCAGAGTCATTACCGTTTGCGTAGGGAGCAAGTTGCCGCTAGAAGATTTAGAAGGTTTCAGGGGTTATTACTAGGAAGTTAGAGCTTACCTAGACATGGACACAGGTGCTTGGGATTAATCCAAGACACGCCTACGAATGACTCACTATACAAAACTCCATATTCTTTTTTTCTTTCACGGAGCGAAAGGGTTCCGCGGTTGAACCAGTACGCATTATAGACATTTCTTTTTTGAGCCGGTTAGATTTTTGGTTAATTTATTCTGTAACTTTGTTACATTGTATTCATTAAACATCATATAACTAAAAGAGTGTTATTTATAATTTTGTTAAAACTCCTTAGTAAAATTTGTTCAAAGTATGGTTTAGTTCTAATTATGTCTTATTTCTCGTTACCTAACCCTGCTCATTTATTTCTCATTATGTATATGGAAATAATGGAAGTCAGTGACTTAAGGAATTTGCACGAAAAATAAAATCACGGTTAAGTTTGGTATGTGACCGCCACATACCACGCCTCTTACTAGATCGACATTCCATTGAACCCAACCTCCCTATGTTATGCCAAAGGTGATTTCTTTTTCGTCCGGTCTTCATTCCTGGTAACACTACTCCCCGGTATACACGCGGCGACGAGACAAGTAACGATAGATTTATCGAAAATTTAACCAGTGTCAAAAAAATGAGCAGCTTATTTGATACATCATTGAATTTTGTTTCAGAATTAGAGTACCAAATGATAAACGAGAATGCGTACTCCTGCTGAGACCGAAACACTATCTCAACCTGAGATGTACAAATTTGAATCTCAGGAAAGCGAAGCACCATCGGGTGGCAATCAAGTGGTTTTGTCACCCTCCCGTCCAGAAACGCACATATTTACTAATAGGTAAAATAAAAAGCATATTTAATAACCGTGATACTTTGTGTCTGCAAATATACCTGTTTAAAATAACGCGCTGTTTTTCATGGAGTTGCGCGCGTATTGTTACGCATGCGCCTTCTTAATTGCCTACCGTAGGTATACCACGAAGCATTGTTCAAAATCCATGTATCTAAAAAAAGAAGAAATAAGAAATTACCTTTAATACCCGCTATAGAATGGAATGATATTAATTATATAAATGCTTACTCCAAAGAGAAATCTAACACAGGACAATCCACCTGCTGTTTAATTAGATCTAAACTATAATGTAATTACAGGCAGATACACTTGATCATCACGTGTTATATCGGAGAAACGAACGGTAAATGTAGCCCTCTACCGGCTAACTTGTTAGTTTTTGATATGTATCCTACTCGCGAGCATTGTGTGTAGTTTTGTCGTGCTGGTTTTTTGTTCGGCTGGAAAACAATCCGATCGGTGGAATGATTTTGTAATACTTTCTCTCGATACACGGGACAAGGGTGATATATCCATATGTTACGTGCGGCACAATGGTTTTTACACGGTTTTTCCTCCGGAAGACGCAGAACGACGATGCGGCCGTTCCAAACAACGTCGGCACAAGGAGGTGAGCACGAAGGCCAAATCGTCGGAATGCGCTTCCGATAACGGCACCGTTGACGGCTTCGATCTTGTCCTCGAACTACCACATTCGTGTAAACCTACATTCGTAATCTCTCGAATCTCCGATACTTACAATACTATCGTAGAAATTTCTTATGTTTCGCTCTTAATGTCTCTTTCACTTTTAGTAAATACATCAATTTTTTACGCTACTTGAACATCGTTGATTGGAAGAATGATACATATATGTAATAAAGAGAGTCGTGAGAAAGGATTATACTTACATATAGTAAAGGACTCGAGGTTCGGTGTAAAGTACACCGTTGATATCAATGCTTACAGTTATCGCATCGCGTTACTTATACACTCGATTCATGCTTACGATTTATAATCACAAGTTGACAGGTGTACAATGCTTATAGAAAAAAAGCATGCCGTTCGATTAATAAATTCAGAAATATTATTACCATTTTATATCGTGCTCCATATTTTCTTACACGTCAAAGCTCCATGAGAAATATTCTTTTATGAAGACGTTACGTGAAACGGGACACATCAGTCTGAAATACATACAGATATTGCGTCTTTAAAACAATGTAATTTTATCAGAGCTTATTGTTTGCTAACACAATAATAGGATTGTATCATCAACGAATTCTTCATCCCTCGTTTTTTTTTTAATTCTCCTTAATAATTATCGAACGAAGTACAGATAGCGATTATAGATTGATTTAATCAGTTTACCGATTTCTTAGAATTACTCGGGAGGAAAAAAATTTCCCTGGTTTACATAAATTACTTACTTCCTTTAAAACGCGCTAGTACACCGTTGTAGTTGTGCAGCTATAAACGGATAAAAACCTCTTGAAGCCTATTCACTTTCACTGCAATACATGTATCGGTTAAATCGATAAATGATAACCAGTTCAAACATACTTATGCAATTTTCCCTAAGATGTACCTACCATTTTGCAGTGATAACAAAATAAATGAATGTTAATTTAACGAAGTAGGAAATTGTAACAAATTATCCTCTAATGATAATGATAGATTTTTCTATTTGTAATACGCTATTGTATTAATCGTGTATACATATTCATACTTATGACCGAATTAAAAAATATAGTTATTTACGCATTGATAAATTCGATAGAATAGAAGGAAAATAAATACGCACTTCACCGAAGAGACGCAGTTCAATAAGATAAACTTTCACTAGCACAATTGTGCTTTCCATGCCATCTTTGACCTAAACATGAACTAACCACGCGCGGTCTTGAAAACTTGAGCGAAGGTCATGATGATGGGTTTAAAAAAAAAATCGGCGAGTTGTTTTATTACCAACAGTGATGATTTAAATAAAATCTTTTAATCTTGCGAATTATTAATTTTAGCATGTTATGCATCCAAGAAGAATTGGGTCAGTTGGGTGGAATTGCAGGAGGTCCCATAATCACTGACCCGCACGATGCTCAATTACCTAATAATAGTCATAGCATTTCGGGGAGCAATAGTAATTCCAGTGAAACTGCAACAAAATGTACTCCAGGTTCTGGAACTTTGGATGCGCAAAGATCGAGTTGGGTCGAGGGAATATTAGGATGTATGCGCCCAGTATGGAGTATGCTTTCAAAAGCAGCTGTAAATGAAAAGATTAAAGGACATCAAAGTACATCATTCATTTCTCTTTATTATGATATAGTAATTATAAGTATGATTAAAAGACTTAACTAAAAATCATTGTAGCTGATGATTGGGAGATACCATTTGAAACGATTAGCGAACTTCAGTGGCTTGGATCTGGAGCACAAGGTGCAGTATTTAGTGGGAAATTAAACAAAGAAATTGTAGCTGTAAAAAAGGTACGAGAACCACGTGAGACTGATATAAGGCATTTACGAAAACTTAATCACCCGAATATTGTTCAATTTAAGTAAGTATATCGTTATTGTATCCATACGCGGCAAATTGATAACAGAATAATGGAAAATATTTTCATGTATTTTCAGAGGTGTTTGCACGCAAGCACCCTGTTACTGTATAATAATGGAATTTTGTCCATATGGACCATTATATGATCTTCTTCGAGCTGGAGAACCAGTACCACCTCCTAGACTTGTATCATGGTCTAAACAAATTGCAGCTGGCATGGCTTATCTTCATGCACATAAAATAATACATAGAGATCTCAAAAGCCCAAAGTATGATGTTCAACCTATAATACAATTCACGTATAATTTTCAATGCAATTAATAATCTTATTAATTTTTTAAATATTACCTACTTTTTCAGTGTGTTGATAGGACAAGGAGAGGTTGTAAAAATTAGTGACTTTGGAACCAGTAGAGAATGGAATGAAATTAGTACAAGAATGAGCTTTGCTGGTACCGTTGCATGGATGGCTCCAGAAATAATCAGGAATGAACCCTGTTCTGAAAAAGTCGATATATGGTCATACGGTGTAGTATTGTGGGAACTTTTGAGTGGAGAAGTACCTTACAAAGATGTGGATTCTTCGGCAATTATTTGGGGTGTGGGCAATAATTCTCTCCATTTACCAATCCCCGCAAGTTGTCCAGAAGGTTACAGATTACTTGTAAAGCAATGTTGGGCTGCTAAACCGCGTAACAGACCTTCCTTTAAACATATTGAAATTCACCTCGGCATTGCAGCAGTTGAAGTACTGTGTACAAAACCTGATGATTATTTTAAGACACAGGTAAAATGTTAGGCTTTAAGGGGTAAAACCGTGAAAATAAGTATAACATGTTTAATAATCATTGTAATTATAGCAATCATGGAAGAAAGAAATTAGAGATCATATGAAACAAATGCAAACAAATAGCTGCAGTAGTCCAAGATTTGAAGCTGACCTAATTAGACGACGCGAGGATGAGCTAAGGCATGCTCAAGATATTCGAGAACACTATGAACGTAAACTTGAACGGACTAACAATTTGTACTTAGAACTAAGCGCCGTTTTATTACAATTAGAACAGCGCGAACGAGATGTGATCAAGTATGTGACAATAGGTGTGAACTAACGATGAATTAACAAATATGATAGTGATAATTACAAACGCCTTAATATTTTAGACGAGAACAACAAAGTGGCTATAAACAATGTAAGAAACGACTTGTGCATCCTCTATTGAAGGCTCAAGAAAGACTACATCGTAGACGTAATCCTACGATACAATTTTCAACATCCTCTACACCAACAACACCACCATCCCCGACAGATGGCCCTCAAAGCCCTGCAAAGGCAACTATGTATACGCAATTGAACGAATCGAATCAGCCAGAAACAATTTTAGCTCCTAATAACAGTTTCAAACAACGTAAGTACAGACATCGTCGGGTGGGATCCGGATGTGGTGTTAACTCTAGCCCCCGATCAAGTCCTCATCACGAAAGAAAGGTATGTATTCAAACGCGGAAACATAAGTTTTTGTTATCCTAAAAGAATAATCTAGAATGTCGCATATGCTTTTTGATTTTCAGAGTACAGAAGTATGCGCGCGTTACGTTGATAATCAAACTCAAACAGATATAATGGACATTAGCGAAACTGACAACGTTAGACAAACAACAGTAGTTTCATCGACAGAAAAGCTTTCTGTAAATAGCATCAATAAACAGTCATTAAATAAACAAGTATCAGAGTGTTTAAATGGGAATTCAGTTTTGTCCGACGATCATTATAGAATGCAATCTAGTCCCTGTTCCAGTCCTGAACCTTCAAATGTGAATCATGCAAATGGAAACGAACGTTTAAAGGACTGTAGTGACGATGACAATCTTGAAACGCTTGGCCGAAAAGTTAGTGAAATAATTAATGCTAATCGCCTTATTTCTCCAATAGATAATGGAAATTGTGACGATGTCATACAGCATAGGTGAGTGTATTTCAGATTTTAACATTTTAGAGAAATAATTATAGAAATAATAATTAATAACCAACTTCAGAGGTAAAGAAGATTCTGTGAAGTTATCTGGTCATTTTTGTGGAATTATTGTTAACGGTACTAATATACAACAAGAACAATCGGAAATAAAAGTTCGGCCTTGCAATGAAAACATAAATGCTTTATGTGATCATGAAGATGATGCATGCGAAGAGAGTTGGTCAGATGAAGAAGGTGAAGATCCGAGCTATACGTATAATTATTCTCTTAGAAGAAGGAGGTATGCATCTTTTTTTCTAATTATGTAAACATAAATATAATTTCCAACTATAATTTTCAATTTAATCTTATAGTATTGCGAGAAGACCAATTGGTCCTGGATATAGATTAAGAAGACTTAAACACGCAACAGTACGAATAGAAGGAGTGTTAGCTTCTGATGAAGAAAACACTTCTGAATATTCACATCCTCCGTCCAGTCAATCATCTACGTTAGAAAGTAATCCTGATATGCAAAGAGTACTTCGTAATATTCAATATTCTCATAAAGTGAGTTAAGGTAATTTTTTATCATTTATAAATATACGTTATTCTATATGATATGCAGATGGAATTAGAACTTCCATACCCAAAATGAGTAGAATCGTGGTGATAGAGATAGCGGTGACGTAATGGATAGCGTAAGAAACTGGTTTTATTTACAAAAGATTTATAAAGTTGTAATTTCATTTTCTACTTTCTCTTACAATTGGTACACGAAAGAATTCACTATTAATTGAACCTAAATCTTCGATGTTTCTAATTAACCACACTATCCACTACGTTACCGCCAATCAAACGTTCTCTTTATTTTTCTATTTATTTTGGGAACGGTGTTTCAATTCCACACGTATACAAAGTGTTCCAGAAAGGTATAATCCTTAAAATACAGATTCTCCATATTAAAACAAATAGGAAGCCGTCTGCTAACTTATAATTTGCAGTTTCCTTTCCAAAATATAAACAATTAAATATTGGATATTCAATCAACTGCGCGGCCGTCCGAACGATAGGCGGCTCAACGCACAACTGACGCGTGCTGTTTGGAACCAGAAGAGTACGCATACATAGGATGCGCGCGCATGCACATAGCGAAAATCCAAAAATCAAAGTCACAAACTATTTTCCGATTTATTTTGGCATGGAGAATCTGTAAATTTAATATTTTAAAACCTTTTTGTGATACTCTGTATAAATAAAACGAAGACAAAAATAATAAATGTATTAGAGAATAAATATTTAGAAACAAAGACCGATTTAGAGAACATGTAATGGAATGACAATTGTTAAATAAATTCTACAAAATAAGTGCCTGAGGCAATTAAAAGTACACCAAACGGTAACTTTCAAAGTTAAATAGAAAACATTAATGAAATTGTAATGTGCAATATAAAGCAATTTACATAAGCTTTCAATTGGAAATAGAGTTCTCAGTACAATAAATTTTCAATTCAACGAATATTCAAATATATAAATAAAATAAAATTACAGATGACACAAGATATTGCTTCAAAATTATTTTATCACAGAAAAAAAATCGTTAAATATTTTTGATGCAATAAAATTACATTTTTACTATTACTCTTACTGCTGATATATGTAAAGTTCTGTATGTAATCGATTTTATTTTGTTTCTCAATTAACAAATGAAAAATCTAATTTAATGACTACGTTTACAATAAAATTAGTATAAGTTGTATTATAATATGATGAAAATAGTGCAGGTTGTCTGAGTTTCAAACTGAAACTCAACAATAGTGTTGGACTGTATATGAAAGTCATACTCATTTTTGCAAATTAATAACAATAAGTATTGCAGTTATATATGCATAACTAGATGATATAGTTAACTCAGTTGTCCAAAGTACTATTCTGCATCCATCTATTGTACCTGCTTTGAAACTCAAATTGCCTTAATGACAATTACTATACATTGTAAATATAGACAATATGATAGAAACTTAAGAGAATAGTTAATAAGATACATTATAACATTTTGATGTGCTCATTTGGATGAAATAATTAGTAAGACGTACAGAGATGTACTTTCTAATAATCATACATATTGTATCTATTATATTTATGCGAGTAGTTGCATAAATTGTTCCTTCTTGTGCAGTGGCAGCTAAACTGACTAGTTCTATTATTCTTTAATAATAGAAGCGGTACACAAAATTTGTGTTATAAACAATAAAGTTGATTTACAGTAATCGATTTATTCGTTTTACTTATAAACCTCATTCGTATTGTTGTATATTTTAATTTTGTAAAACGAAAATAAAACTTTTTTTTTATATGAAGTGTAACATGTCCATTAATTTCATTCACTGTTATTCGGGAAAAAGTTTTTTTTGTTTGATTAAAAAATATACTCAATAAAACCAATAGAACATGTTGTAACTTTGCTTTATGTAAATGTATATTAACTTATTAAAATATTTATAATAAATAATTGCACAGCCTATGTTCGACAATAAAACATACATGTTGTCATGCATTTAAACATACTAGTAATAAAAAGAAGTTACAATGCATACAGTAGGAAAATACTTCATTTATACCTAGTGATAAAAATTCAAAAATCAGGCGCTCAGTGTCATTTGAAATAAATTGTTTTTTATAATATTAATACTAACTCGATGTACGTACAACGTAAAATCTCTGTTTGAAAAAACCTTATTTACATTTTTTAAGGTAATAATTCTATCTTTTGTAATTTCATTGTAGATTATGTAAAAGTTTTACAGCTAACTTTATAGTATGTTATAATTTTTAAATATTTCATTGTTTTTCACTTAATTACAAATTTTAATACATTGTGTATATACAATTTAATTAACAAGAAATTTAAAGTAGTAACTCAGATCTTCAATATTATTATTAGATCCAACTATCTTTTTCCATGCATGTTTGATTAGATAAAGTAACACATGATTTTGATATTAAAAATAAACAAAAATATATGCAAGTTAAATGTACCGACTGATACTAAAATTTAACTAATTTAAAGTAAATTATGTAAAAGTACTTTTTCATAAAATTGCAATTTCACACACTGTCTATGTTTATTCAATTATTTAGTAATAATAGAATAGAAAATTATATTTAATGTACTATGACTTATAAATTTACCAGTAAAATGAATTATGAAGAAACTCAGCAGTGGATTTGTACAATGATGAAGCACTTTGTCTTAATCCAGTAAATAATGAAACAACTCCCTCTTTTTCATCTTCTTGTTCATCCTCTTCAGGTAAGTATTCTGGCATATCATCAGTATCAGCATTGTTCCCAGTATGAATCTACAAATTATACAGTGTGAGGAAAATACATAATTTTATGTTAGAATATATAAATATATACATATATCTACCAATTTAACAAGATATTCCTGATTCAATTTATTTCTTGTCACTAGTCTTGCTTCCATATTTTCTGAATTTTTTTGAATAGCTTCTGCAATTTGTTTGGCTGTGACATAACTTAAAGTACGCATTGTAACTCGTTGATGTTCTACATCAACTACAAGAGATACTAATCCATTGATTCTTATTAATATTGCCTCTAATTCTGCTCTGGTTTCCTATGTTATATATCATTGTTGTAAAACGGTAAGTATGTAATATTAAAACACAGATACTATTCATATTTACCGGTAATAAACCTTGTACATGTAACACAATAACATGTGTTTTTAGTTTTTTGGGTTCTATGACCCTACGACATCTACTGTGTAAATTATATATTGGTGGTTTCATTCTTTCTATATCATTTTTTAAGGATTGTGCTCGCGTAGATATCTTTGGTTCCTCTAAATTGTATTTATTTATAACTGCATCTAAGGCTTCACGAACTCCAAAGGTAGAGGTTATGTGTACATAATTGTCCAGATTTTTAACAAACAGTTCCAAAATATCTAAGCCCAAATTAACAATTTCGGCATCTGGTACTTCTAAGATATATGCCACATATGACAAAACTGTTTTATCCTAGAATGATCAGATTATAATAATAACGGAATATGTATAAATTTGAAAGAAGTCTATATTCTTACCTTTAAAATCGTGTCGTGGTTTGTAAAATCATTAGCCAATTTCTTATAAGTTTCGAGAGTAACTTTCAATTCTTTCGGATCTATAGACTCGTCCACGTCCATTATCTAATACCTAAATGTTGACATTAATTTAATCTTAAACCAATGCAATCAAAATAAGAAGTATCTTGTTTCACTTTTACGGTACGATACAGCCATTTAAATATTAATGAATCTTTGTCAACGTTCTAATCAAATTAAATAATTAGTGAATATAACTTATATGATGAAATGTACATGCTCAGTTGATATTATGACATTTTAAGTAATAAATTTTAAACTGTTTATAGGGTTAAAATTTGTAAACTGAAATTATAAAGCAGAAAGGATTTTGTCTTTTACAATTTTTTAACATGATATTTGCTACTTTTACAAAATATACATTAAGATATAATAAAATATATTTAAATATGTACTTGACGCATATATGTACATAAATCAATGTCTATCATATATGGTAAATAAAAGAAATTTTTAGAAGAATCAAATTTCGGGTACAAAACATTAGACGCGTAACGTATGTATAGACTTTACATAAACGAGTAAATACATACGCGTAAATACATATGTTTACATACTATCACATATATATATATATAAAGACATATAATACACATGTATCTTTTAAACAGATATATCAGTATTACCCTATGTAGTAATAACAGCAACAGTCATGCTACAACCAGCTGGTGCCAAATTATTTTGATGACGCACATATTGTAGTACAGTAGCGAAACTGGTGTCTGTATGACGTACTAAAATAAGATGGCTGATATTCGTTCCATCAACTACCAACAGCATAACACCCGTACTACCTCTCTAATGAACTTCTTTCTTATTTTACATAATTAAGCATTTTAAACCTTCATTGGTGTTATCCTGAATATTTGTAGAAAGAAGTCAATGTAGTATACGATATCTAACGAACGTTAAGAGTAATAGGGAAGCCCATAAAAGTAAGAACACATCCCACGTATTTTCAGATACATACGCACAGGTGATTGTTCATAAGGAGTGCTAGTGTAAAGTGTATATTGATTATTAAAACAATGGAATACGTACTGATAAAAGATATACGGCCGGGTCAAAAAAACATTAACGTAGTGTTTATTGTTTTGGAAGTTGGCCATCCTACTATTACCAAAGAAAACCGCGAAGTTCGAACGTTTAAAGTAGCAGACAGTACAGCATGTATGAACGTTTCAATTTGGGACGAACCTGGACAACTTTTAGTACCAGGTGATATTGTAAGATTAACGAAGGGATATGCATCCGTTTGGAGACAGTGTTTAACACTGTATTCTGGAAAAAATGGTGACATACAAAAGATTGGAGAATTTTGTATGGTAATAAATGAACAATTAAACATGAGTGAACCAAATCCAGCTCTAGCACAACAAATGATTAATCAGAGTGGATCTGGTCCACCTGGTAGTAACATTAATAATAACATTACAAACAATGGAAATGCAAATAATATCTCTGGACAGTCTGGAAGACAACCTTTGGTATATTTCTTTTAACATTATTTTATAAGTTATTAATACTTCAACTTGTTCTCAATATCTTTGTATTAATTTGCCTACTTTTACTACAGGCAATTCAGAGTAATTCAACAACACCTACCAGTGGGGCACCTAGTAGTTCTGCTACAACAAAAAGTGGAAACAATAACAATGGCAATAGTGGTGGAAATAGTAGTAGTAGCACTTCTGGACTTCCAGGAGGTTCTGCAAGATATTCTGGTGATACAACAACAAAAACAACTGTTACAACAAAAACTAATTCTCGCGGTCGCGGGGGATATAGAAACGGTGGACGTAGTGACCGTAGATAACACACAAATAAAAAACGGCTAATTATACATGTGTAATAAAAATATGCAATTGATTACATTCAGGACAACTGTAATATACTGTTTTTCTAATAATCCTGTATATGTGTATTCATGAATTAATGTATACGATAAAGTGTGTTTAGATTCATAATGTGAATTGAGGACAATCCACTTAAGGATAATAGATTAAACATATTATTATTATTATTAATTAATAATTTAGATTTATACTATTATTTAGTACAATTATCTTTTATTAATCTTTGTATTTAATATTGTATATCATTTAAAATGTAAGGATTGTCTTCAAATCAATATAAGTATCAAAATTTGTCTTATTATGATAAATAATGTAATGTGTAATATAAAGTATTCTGCATTTAACTAGTAAATAATCTTACTTGATAATTTTTAAAAATATATTTTATTAAGAAACACCATATGTATGAGCTTAATTTATACTGAGTAAAAATAGCAAGTTAATTTTAAGTAGCTTTTTACATTACATACAAAAATCTTTTATAGTATAAAAATCATAAGTATCCTTCATATTTGTTCTTTTTATTCAGTATAAACTTTGCTTGGAAATAACTGATTTGTATTTTACACTTTTGAAGAAATTAAACAAATTTAAAAAAAGCATTAAATATTTTCTCCATTTTTCCTTTACATTTTAAATAATAAGAATTCATATATATACCGCAGTTCACCAGAGTCCATAACTGCGACGCGCAGGTTGGAAGATGGTGGGGGAACGCAGCGAGCTCTCTGCTAATCGCTTTCCACTTCGTTTGGGAGTATCGCCAATCAGGGCGAAGATGCGTACTAGAGATGCGCAAAGAACGAAAATTGGTCTTCGTAGTTATGGACTCTGGTGAACTGCAGTATATATATGTAAATATATATTGCACTTATTTTAACTTTGCCCATATTTAATATTTACTAAATATACTTTCCTGTAATTAAATTCTTACAAAATTAATGACTTTCCCTGAATAATGAATTTATAAAACATTATAACTTTCAAATATTATTTATCTCAAAACTTAATCATGTTAAATATACTTTTCTATTTTTTACAAAACTGATAATAATACATTTATAGCAACTAAAGATCCGCAATTAGAATATTTACCAAAATCTATCCAACTCACTTATGAAGTTTATTAGACCAATAAATTTAAGAATAAAGGAATTTCCAGGACAAGTTCAATCATCGGATTGTATACCATTTCTGTTTCTCTACTCCACTTTTTAGGTTATGTTTATAGATGGTTCCACGCTTATGTGATATGTCACATCGAAGTAAGTGATTACGATATGTATTTTATTTCTAATTCTCAATTTTATGTATATACATATGTTTATAATTTTATGTGTTGTAATTTTGCAGAATCGATACAATGATTACATCTGTACTATATTTTGGATATTTTTATTACTAAACATATGATTTGGTAACAGATGTATAATATCAAACATAATAATTTATTGTTCTTTTTTATGAATCAGCAAAAACACAAAACGGTATGTCTAATGCATTTATATGTATTAATCAGCAATGTTTTAATTCTATACATAACATATAGTAATTCATAAATTTTCAGTATAAGTATTGTTTTAATTTAAATTTGTAAAATACAAACAATAGATAAGATAAGCATTATGGATAAGATAAGTTTTTAATTTGTTTACTATTGAGTTTTGTCGTGTTATAAAAAAAAGGAATTGAACATTGTTACTTTTATGTTGAGAATGATATATGTAAACTAATATAATTTGCATTTACAGATTAGTGTTCTTTAAAGTATGACAAGATCACATATAAAATATGAAATTGCAAAAGATGCAGATGATACCTCAGATTATTTTCTTCAACCTGTACAAGAATTTCCTAATACATCTAAGAAAGAAGTATCTCCTTGGAAGAAACTTTGCAAAATTCTTACATTAATTGTCATTTACTTTGTCTTATCAGTAGGCCTCACATTTTATGTACAATGGCTTTACAATTCATATGTAAGTAAGTAATTTCACAATTTATAAAAACTTTTGTCATTATGTGATTTTATTTTGGATATGTAATAATTTTTTAGGGATTTCATTTTCCTCTAACTGTGGTGATATGTCATTTATCAGTTAAATTTCTTTTATCTTCTCTAATAAGATGTATTAAAACATGTTGGAAAAGACAGCAACAATTAAAACTTTCTTTACATAGTATATTATGGATGGTTATGCCAGTGGGTATAGCTAGTGGTCTTGATGTTGGTTTATCAAACTGGGCAATTTCATTAATAACAATGTCATTGTATGTATAATAGATTTCTACATTATCTCCAAGTTGTTAATGAAATAAAATATTTAATACTATGTAATAATGGTTATGCTTTTATTTAGGTATACTATGACAAAATCAACTACTATTATTTTTATTCTTGGATTTGCTCTTATTTTAAAATTAGAAAGAAAGGTAACAGTATTGATTTTTTAAATATATTTATATTTTTATAGCAAAGGTAATCAAGGAATTAATTCTGTTGTAGTCTTGGTCATTAATATGTATTGTAGTAATGATATCAGGAGGCTTATTTATGTTTACTTACAAATCAACACAATTTGCTATTTTTGGATTTGTAATTTGCCTCCTAGCATCATTTTCAAGTGGTGTACGATGGACTATGACACAACTTATTATGCAAAAGTCTAAACTTGGAATGAAAAGCCCAATTGATATGATGTACTATATGCAACTATGGATGCTGTTACCTGTTGTGCCAGTGATGATATGGTTTGAGGGTAAGAGTTTATACATATATAAAATTCATAATTAGCTAACTAAACTTCCCTGAAATACATTCTAATATAAAATTTATCATTCAGGATCTCATGTGTACAGTAGCTTTAAAAATATTGATTGGAATGATGTACAATCTATTGCAATGACTACTATTGCTGTGCTTGGAAGTGCTATTATTGCTTTCCATATGGAAGTCATGGAATTTCTAGTTGTAACATACACTTCTAGTCTTACTCTTTCAATTACTGGCATAATTAAAGTAAGTCAAAATATAATAATACATATATATAATAATTTAATTTTGTAATGATGATATTTAAATATATATATTTGTAGGAGATATGTATTTTAATTTTGGCTGTTGAATGGAAAGGTGATCAAATAAGTGGCCTTAATTTTATAGGGTTGTTAATGTGCCTTGGTGGTATCATAATTCACTCTATTCAAAAAGTATTATCAAATAGAAATAAGAAAAATGAAAACTTGGAATTACAAGTAAATTCTTCGCTAAGTCTTAACTTAAAAAATGAAGAGGGAATCGATACAAATTTACCTCTTTTAACACAAAAATCAACTTCTATAACAAATCTTTTAAATGCGGAATTCAGTTCGGAAGAAGACGATACGATGAAACACGGTGAGAATTCTACTCAAATATTGTCTAATATATTGCAACGAAGGGAGCAGTAAATCGTAGACTTGTGATATTGGTGTGCAACAAGACAAGATTTATTTACTATTGAAGGTCATTCCATGTCTGACATACATACTGCATTTTATAACTATTCTTATGTTTGTATTCAGTTGTATATCCTACAACTGCTTTTATTTTTAATGAAATTTTCATTAATGAGTCATATGTTTAAGGATGTAGTCTATATTATTGGTAAACTTTATATTAATGTACCAAATTCATTTGTTCTATATGATTATATGAACATGAACACCTAAACTTTTACTCCAACATTTATTTATAATGTTGTAAACATATAAACAATGCATAAAAAAAGAAGGCATACAAATATTTATTATGGTAAAAAGAGTTAAAAGATCATTCCTTTCATAAATAATACCGTGAATTATATTTATTTAAGAACTTTCTATAAGTTTAACTTATCCCTAAAAATTTCAGTCTGTGTTAGTAGTTCTTTATTCAAAAATGGCATAATTGTATCTTACCGATTAGTAGCATTTTTTTTTTTTTAATTTTGCTGCATTTAATTTTTTTATTTTTTTATTTTTTTTTTTGAACATTAAGGATCCAATAAACGCACAGTATAATAATAGATAATTAAATACTGCATGTAAATTGAATGTTGTTAATAACATTTGCAAATTTAATGTAACTTTTTCAGTCAGAATTTTAGTAAAAAGATAGTATTATTGTTTAATATTATTTTTTGTAATGTGCATAAATATCCATGTATTGAAGTAAAAGTTAATAACTAATGAATACTAATGTCGTTTATAAAGAATTTTCTTACAATTTTGTTGTTTTTAATTCTTATGTAAAATATTGTATTTATACATTTTTGAAACATTACGTTTTATATTATTACGTGATGCTCATTTGATAATACACAAACTCATCTGTGTATTAATACTAGTAACATATGTCAAAGAAATTTAACTTGTATGTTCTCATATTGAGAATGTTAACTTTAAAATTTATAATAAATTTTGTATATATAAGTATGTTATTTTATATTTTATTTAATTTTTGAATAACAAGTACTATGAACTTCACTTACTGTAAGATATATTCTACACGATTCAATTTTTATTATGCTGTAAACTCTGCTTAAATGTTATATTTGACAATATAATATATGATAATCAAATGTAAGGAAATATGTGTATAAATATTATATTTAAAAGCAATATAAAGTAAAAGCGACCTTCTTCGTATTAAAATTAAGTTTTATTAGTAATGCATGGATAGTGGTTTGATTTTTTTTTCTTTTTAATATTTTAAGTTGATCCGTTTAAAATAATGAAATGAACTTATTTTGTATATACATTTGTATTACTACGATAAAATGAATAAATATGATGTATACCTAACATAATCATTATACTTTAATATAGATTAATAAATAATTGTTACCTATATAATTTAATAAATAACTTCGTAGGCTCATTACTTAGTCTGTTTGATTTGATTAGTCTTTTTAGATTTGGCTTCAATTCTCTCTCCCAGTTTATGAATTAAGTCGTCCAATTCATCCTATTTAAAAAGGAAAACTCAGTTTATATTTTGTTTAATTTGTAAACATGTACACACGCAGCGTGATTTTTATTACTGGAAAGTTAATAATAATAATAATAAAGTTAATAATAATAATAAAACTTACCTCATTGTATGTATACATTAAAGTACAATGTTTTAAAACTTGCTTTTTCTTGTTAAATAATTGCAATGCATGTGGTAAACAGTAAATACTGTCATCTTGGGAATTACTAATCAATGAAACAAATAGATTAGCTCTGCAAATTTCACATTCAAAATCACCATCATCCTCTTTCACTTTTTTCCCTTTTTTTCGTTTTCCACTATCCGGCAGAGGTAATCTTTCCGTATTTATTAAACCCACTGATACTAACTGTTTTCGGTAACTTATTTCTTTTTCACGAATTTTAATTACACTTGGTAGAATCTATAAATGTAATCATTATTAAATAAAAATAATTTACATGAAACCTTATTAATGTTGATATTTACCTGTTTTAATACTTCTATATGAGATCTAGAATCATTAATAATATTGAATAATAATCTCTCAAATGAAAAGATCGATGGTTCACAGCTATCTTGTATGTCCTAAAATAATTATTAAATTGTATCATAAAAATTGATATCGCAAATATATAATTAAAAAATATAAGAATATTATGTATTTACTTTAAATACTTGTTCCGCAGTTTCTAGCCACGAGAGTTGTGCAAAGTAAACACTTTCAGAAACCACGTAACCAGTACATATGCTTGATGTAAATGCTTTAGGAAATACAATTATAAATTGCCCTGGTTCTTGTACAGTTTGACATAATGACACTCCGTTACTAACTAACAATTCTGGAGGAACCATGGCTGTATCTGATGGTAACCATATAGTCTTATTTTTACAATAACGCGGCACCATTTTTGATAGTGCTTCTCTGAAATGGTTGTTGTGTTCATCTGGTATACCATACCAAATTTTTTTAGCACCAGTGTGCAAATATTCTATCCAGGGAAGACCATGAGGATCGCGGTACCAACAACAAGCACTGAATAACATGCCCACGTGAAGGGTTGGTACTGTCACACCTATAAGTAAAATTACAATTATAAAATAATAATTTATGAAAAAAATAAAATAAAATAAATTGATTTATTTGATTAGAAAAATTGTAAAAGTATTTCCATACCCATTATTGGGCCTAAAGCGCGTAATACTGATCCAGCATTATTAGTAAGTACTTTAAGGTTCCACGGGTGTCTTGCAAATGGACTATTTTTAGCAACAGAAAATCCAAACCCACGACCACTTGAATCAATACTTGCAGCATGTACACAGACATGCCGTTTTCTTTCTGCAACATGTTTCCAAAATGCGCTTTCAACCTCATCAGCAGAAGCACCTTCAGCTTCATTTCCAGATCGTTGGTTTTCACCAAACCACATACGTTGTGTGTTTCGTGCGATACGATAAAAAGCATTTAATGGCATATTTCTACCCTATAAAATTATGTACGTTTTATAAATGAAAATAAATTTAAACCTATCGAAGTATAATCATTATAATTTAGAATTCATACTTTTACAATGCACTCTTCAATTTCATCAGAACTATCATCATCTTCATCTTCTTCATTTTCAGTAACTGGTGCGTTTTGCCTCTGTAAAGCTTTGCTTTCTTTTTTTATCCATTCAGATTCAACTTCATCAAATAACTTGCCTCTTTCCTCTAAAGAGGTTTTCTTAATAAGTAAATGAAAAAAAATTATATGTTTTTTGTATATTTATATATAAATACCTGGAGACAACGTATCATATGGTAGTAAATATTTACAATAAATGTCATCTAATTTGGTTACACGATCTTGGGCAGATTTTGGTATCTTCATACCATCAGCTACTTTTTGCCATTTTTTCTTTTCAATAACTTCCTTTAATCCACCTAAACTTTGAACTGTCTGATATAGATGAGGTAAATCAACTTCCATGCCACCAATCTGAAAACATACATCAAATTAATAAATGTTCAAAAAACAAGAAAAATTAAATGAAGAATCATAAATACGAAATTTTACCCAAGGTGGATGAGTTAGTGTTATGCTTTGCGTGGCCAAGTATTTTTTTATAGCCATCATTTCCTTCACATTAGGACCCCATCTATGAAGCATACGATGCACATACTGGTTATAAGCAGTAAATCTCATGTCATCTGATACTTTACATTCCGGCTAAATTAACAATGATAAAAGAAATATAAGTAAAATGTATTCATATCTGATTTGTATCAATTAACTGTAACACATTAATTAATTTTACTTTAAAATTGGGTGGTGGTACAACTCGGCATATTCCAAACTTCTCTGCAACTGGTCTTATTTTGTCTATATATTCTAGAGGATCTTGAAAGTCTTTCTCACTAGGATGAAATGTTGGAGCTTCGACTAAGCATGCTTCACTATTTACATCCTTTGCATTTGGAAATGTTACATTATTAGACGGAGAATAAACTTCAGAACTTTTCTGTTTTGATTTAATTTGACACCTGTAATTTAAAGCATATATGTATTAAAAAATAGTACTTAATTTTGTCATTTAAGAAAGGTGAAATTATATATTTACCTTTTCCCATTTTTATTTGAATCAATAGATGTTTTTCTTTCTCTAGAAGTTTTCGGAGATTTCGTCAATTTTTCTGTTCCCACATTTGATAAAATCCCAATGTTTTGCCTGTTTACAGTTTGTATTACGTTTTCATTTTTACATGGAGAAGATGATTGAGTTTCGGGGATAGGTGCAGTGATAATTGAAGCTGCACTTGAAGAGGTAGATGGTGTTGAGTGATCTGTTGTTATAAAAGTAGAATTCGGTGGTGTACGAGTTGTAGGTTGCACCGTACCTACAGGAGGACAACGCGCAATAGACGCAGGAGGTTTTGTAACTAATTTGGCTCTCAAAAGAACTTTCTGATTAGGTCCAGTTGGTCCTTCGGTACCAAGTTTAACAGCTACACCTTGAATTAATTGTTGACCTTGAACTAAATTTGGTCCATTTCTTGTAACAGCTTGTAATGGTATATAAAATAGTTGACCATCATTCTCATCGTCATTTTCGTTATTACTCTCAGTTTGAGTGGATATTTCTGTACTTTTATGTGGATTTGAATCTCCTTCTCTTCCATGTTCTTGTGACTGTGCATTATCATCAAGATTTACTTGTACAGCAATTGAAGCACTACAATTTACATTACTCCAAGTTGTAGTTAACTTATCCAATGGTAGAACTTGTATATTAGCTAATGTTGCGAAATTTTTAGGTAATTCAAATTTGTTTATATTTAGTGTTGCATTTGGTACATTTTTTGTTTCAATTGCTTCACTTTCTTTTGGTAGAAGGACAGTATTGGAATTTTCTTTTAATTCGGTTATCTCACAATCATCTGTGATTATCTTTTCTACATTCTTATTTGTATTATTTTCAGATTTAATTGTATCACTTTCAGCTTTTTGTTCATTACTTTCAGATAAAGCAATAGCCATGTTTGATCTGGTAGATTCACGAACTTTACGTCTAAATGGAGTATTAACTGGAATTTCAGTATCACTTTCAAATGCATAAACACTACTTTCATTTTCTGGAGAAAATGCATTTGCATTAGGAATTACTGTTTTACGTTCTTTAACTTTTGGTAAAAATGGTTTTCTTGGTTGGAATATGGTTTTCTTTTCACCTGACAACTTTTTTTCGCCAGTTACATCTACTACATTTTGATCACATTTTAATGCAATATCATTTTCTTCTCCAGCACATGAATCCTTATTTGATTTTACATTTCGTGTTTTATTAATATCTTTCAACTCTGCGGTATTCTTATTTACAATAGTAATTTCATTTTCCTGCTTTACATCGATGGACTTCACGTCCATTGTTGTAATGGATATACATTTATTCTGCATATTCATACGATCTTTCGCGTTTGCCTTTTCTGCTAATTTTGAAAGTGTAACGTTAACTGGTCTTACCAAATGTTGAATTTTTGTTGAAATAGACAAATGTGATACATCAGTTTTTTTTTCACAAACATCGTATTTAAAGGCAGATACATTTTCCATTTCCAATTTACTTTCTTCTTTGGCAAACGAACTTTCATTCAACCATTTTTCAATTTGCTCGGTTGACATGTTTACCTTTTCTTTTCTTACATGTAATGTTGACAAAGACATATCTACATCATTTCCAGACATTTCTGGTTTGTGATGACACTCTTTTTCAATATGTTTTGTAAATTCCAATTTTGTCTTTTGGATTCTTTCAGATTGGACAGATTGATTATTTGGCACACTTGTTGTGGGAGAAGTTTTATGTAAACAAGGATCATTATTAATTAATTCCTTATTTTCTTGTTGATTAGATGCATCTGAATCTTTTACATCTTCTGTGTTAGTCGTTTTTGATGTGTCAGTACTTTTTTCCGTGACTAGAAGATTAGCATTAGCATGGGTTTGACAAGAATTTAATACTTTAGATATCGTTTTCTTTGTAAACCCGCGAAAAGATTCTTCGTCGTCCGATACTTTCGAAAGATCCACTTTTACAGAATTCTCATCTAATGAGTGTTCAACTTTGTCTATAACATCACAATTACTATTATCATTATTATTAATATTATTATTATTATTATTATTATTATTATTACTACTACTGTTGTTATTATTAGGAGAAATTTCTTCATTTGGCGGGGGGTCATCTTTCTTTCTTTTTAACTTATTAAGCAGCATTCCTAAAGTTTCTTCATCAGAATCTGTGATATCATGTGCATTATTTTGTATTTTTCCTTCTTTTTGTTTTAATTCACCACCTTTTTCAGGTGATGATTTACTAAAATTTTGTTCTCGTTTACGTTTTATTACAAATTTTTCTTTATTAAACCGTAAATTATTTTGAACTTGAGATTTCGATTTGATATTTACATTATTTTGAACTTCAATTCGTGTAACTACTTTTTTCGTAGAAGATCGAAGATATCGGCTTGTAGGTTTATTTAATTTTCCTAAACTCCGTCTTGTAACAGGCTTTGTGTTACTGGTATCATTAGAAGAACTCACCGATTCCTCATCACTATCTATTTCGCAATACTTTTGAACTCTTATAAGTCTTTTACTTTTAAAAGCAATTTTACTAACTTTAGTTTTGTCTAATCGTTTATTTGATACACTATGAATACCAGTAATTTTACCATCTTTGTTTTTCGTAACTGGTTTTGAAACAGACTGTTTTGCTTTAGTCTTAACTTCATTTTCTGTTTGAGCACTTTTTCGTGCATTTGGTAATTCTGGAAAGCTATCCATAGAAACATTATCATCATTCTCTAAATCAGGACTTATAAGCTTTCTCCCGAGAATTTCCATATATACCGCAGCTGCCTCTTTTGTCTTTCTTGTCGGTCTTCTACAAAGATTTTTTGGAGAAACCGTTCCACTATGAGATCTAGTAATTCTTCTCATTTCAGATTTACTTCTTGTACATATATTTTTTTGAACATTCTTTTGAGCTGTACGTTTTATTTGTGATACTGATTTTTCTGAAGGACCTTCTTCCTCTTCATCTTCAGATGTAGATTCTGAAGTTGATGTATCACTACTATTTTGTTTTGCAATTACCTTCTTCTTTGGTTTTGGTGGAGCAGACTTAACTTTTGGGGAAGTCTTTTTCGTTTTGTCTGCAAGTACACTGCTCCTTAAACCAAGTCTTTTAGTCTCAATTCTTGGAAGGAACTTTCTAGGTGGCAACTGATTTGTTGATTTTAACATTGTTCTTTCTGTACAAGACCTTGTTCTCATGACACAGGATGTTTTAAATTTATTTTTAATCCTTTGCTTAGCAAGACGTTGCTCTTGATACTTCTTTTTCAGTGCTTGTACAGTAGATGTTGCACTCTTAAATGTAGTAATATTTTTTTGTATTGAACCTGAAACCTTTTTTTTATCATTAATGGCAGGTTTTACTTTGGTAACAATTTTTTGACTTGAGTCTGATTTCTGATTTTCACTAGATGTGGTACTAGAACATATAGCCTTATCAGTTGATGCACGCAATGGCTTAGGTTCAGGCTTTTCTTTTTTATTTCCAACATTAAAAAAGTTTAAACTTGGAGGTAAGATTGATGTTCCTAAGGAAAAATTATAATTAATTGTTAATAGTTAAATTACAACTATAATATTGAAATATGTTCTCATAATAATAAATTAGAAACCTCTGAAGCATAGAAATGTTAAAAAGTCTTCTGTATTTGGTCGTTTATGTGTTATTAATTCAGTTATAACTGCTGGTTTAGCTTTCTCTTTATCCTTAATGGGAGTATGCGAAGGATTAAAAACATTTGTTGCTCCTTGTGCAAATTTTCTCTGTGCATGCACTTTAGTTCTATAAGAAATATAAAATATATTTTTACATATTAATTAATGCTTAAGGCAGATAGGATCTAACATAAACTGAAGAGTATATTTAAAAAAAAAAAAATTATATATTTACCTCTTTGGAGATTCTGAAAGTGGTTCCATAAGATCCACCAAATCCCCTTCTTTTCTCTTTCTTTTATCATTTCGACTTAGCACCATTTTTCAATGTTATTAAAAACTGTTTCTGTTAATTAATAATAAAATGTTGACAAATATATATCTGCTAGAATTTTAACAGAGAACTGTAATATTTACCTGATCACTATCTCCATTTTTATTAAAAATAAGAGTTAAGAAATACTGAAAAACTATTATAACGTATAAGATACAAGCTTATTTGTAAGTAAAAAATATTTAAATAAATATTTGAAAACAAAATGCAGAATCTATTAGTTCATGAAGTTTTATGGCTATTCAAAGGCAAAGTAGTTTCCATTCAAAATAGGTAAATAAAGGTTAATAATATGCACAACGATAAAACATCTGTTCTCACTAAACAGACGATTGTTTATTGTGTCAAGTAAAATTAAATACCACGCTCTGATCTATGGTTTAGATATACATAGATCTGCACTATAAAATTATATTGATTTCTCAAGTCTTGTTCACATTGCATACAATGCACTGCGTTACACAACACAGTTTGCTATACACTAAATAGTTTAGCCAATGAAAAAGATATTTTACATAATGTTTGTATAGAGAACCATAAATATATTTACTGAAACATTTTAGCACATAACAAGTTATAATTACTTTTTTAAATTAACCTAAAGAAAAAAGAGAATCAAAAAACAATGCTTGACTTTACAGATTTTGAATAATCGATATCAGCTTCAATAGAATGTTCATGAAAATAACGTTACGCCATCTATATATGGGTATAAGAATATTTTACTAACTTTTTCATGTTTACATTTCAAAACTATTAAAAGTATACACATGGAATACATATTAAGATATTACTCAGATATCATTTAAATAATTTGTGATCTGTTTGTTACTTTAATAAGGTAGGAAAAGTCATAGCATATTACATACTTAGACAAATATTAATAAATGATTGTTGAATGCGTCATACTTTAATTTAAAAAAGTAAAATGTCATTTATGACAAAATTTCGCAATCGATTCATGCATAATATGCAATACAAAATATGGTTGTTGTTATTACTTTACAAGTAATGATAACTGCTGTATAACTTATCTTGAAGATAATAATTATACGTGTTTCAAACTTAATTAATTTTCAATAATTTTATAAGGTAAATTACTTATCATCATTAATGAAGTTATTTGTATAATTTACATAATTCAGTAATGTTGGAGAGAATATATGTCTAATGATTTGATAAAATTATCTTATGCATTTTATTCTTCTTTGACAGTGTAATATTAGATTGTGTTTCAGCAAATATAAATTAACTATGTTACAATTGCTCATTTGTGTGTGGTTATATAACCATATTTAATTATAGATACTGCATTTATAAATAATACAGGAACATAATGCATAAAACTGGGCCACCACCACCCTATGAGCCTCCTCCTTATGCGCCGCCTGGTTATTCTCAAACAATGGGTGGTGTTCCACCTGCTAGTCCTTTTACACCTGCAGAAACATGTATGTTTTGTTTGTAATTTATTATTACTTTTTATTAGTTGAGATAAGGCTGTTATTATAAAAAAATTGTTTTTATTATAGACACAAATGGACCAACCATAGTAACAACAATTGTTGCACTTGGACCAGGATCAACTCATACAATATGTCCACATTGTCATGCAGAAATTGATACTACAACAAAAACAGAACCTGGAATGATTGCTTACATATCTGGTGTTGTAATTGCATTAATGGGGTACATCACAAGTTTTCTTTTAACTAACAGTACAATTGTTTTTGTTATAAAATATTTAACATTTTTCTATTTATATTGATAGATGCTGGTTGGGATGCTGTCTGATACCTTGTTGCATTGATGAATGTATGGATGTTCATCATAGTTGCCCTAACTGTAAAGCTTATTTGGGACGTTATAGGAGATAAAGTAATATGATATTAATATCTTTCTTTATTGCATTTCACTCTGAGGTCACTTGAAAATTGAATTATATTCCAATATACATATACTATTAGTAATTTTTAACTTCTATGCATTCAAACACGTTTCTAATGTTTGCAATATAAACAAAAAGCTTTAAATGTTTTTCATATGAAGATTTATAACTAGTATAATGCACAAAGCAGGATTGCACATATTAAAAAATTTTTGATAGTCACTTTCATAAAAATAACTGCTAATTAAAATAGATCTGATATAAATTAAAATATTAAAATGAAAAAGTTCCTAAAAATTAATTTAGTAGGTTTTAGAACTTTTTCATTCAAAGGGTATCAAATAGTTGAGGTGAATGTCCAAGTAAGTACAAATCTTATTAATGATTTTTCTTTGCAATAAAAAGTATATTTCAGCAATATTCAGCACTTTTGATATGTATGTACATGAAAGTTGTATACAATGTGCCTTCATTTAACCAACATTAATAATTAACAGCAATTATTACTTACAAGCAAGTGGTTAAAAAGAAATATACACAATTTGTATTTGTTTTTGTGGAGTTTTACCTAATGAATGTTAACAATGTAATATTGAAAATGACTATTTTTTAGAAATAATATGCACTACTGTTTTCTTGTAATGATTATGGAAATTCATATAAATTTTCAAATAAAAATGAATACTTTGTAAAATAAGCATCACTGTGAAATTATACTTTTCAACATAAAATGTAAGCTATCTGTGTTAATGTATAATAAAATGTGTCATATTTTATAAATTATCATTAATAAATTTTATGCTTAATCTTCACCTACCTGTATACATAAAAAAATATACCATAATGTATATACAAAGATGATAAAAAATCAAGGTTCTTTTTATATAATCTGTGTCAGTAAGGTTATGGCACGATTCACAATAAAATAAACTGACATCTTACATAACCTTTAAAACTTACTTATAAGAAATTTTAAACTTTCTCATCTTCCCAAAATTGATTATTTACATATAATAATTAAAATTAATTTTAGAATAGTTTAGCTTTTTATTTTTGCTTATTCTTAAACTTACTTTATTTTTAGAAAATGACTAAAATATACTAAAAATTATATTCATTTTTTACGTTTTGAATAACATTTATTAATTAAATAAAGCTGAAAATATTTTGAATCAAACATGAAAAAAAATGTATAGCGAGTACATTTATTACCTTTTATCAGAACCTAATTGTAACAACAATATAATTATTTATACGCGCATTAGTTTGTAGCGTTTTTGTGTATTTTCAGTAGTATTTTGGGTAGCCTCAGATTTATGTCTATTATAATGTGGCATTATTCAAAGTCATTTTATAATAAAAATATCACAAAATGGAGCAATAATGTATTTTGCAATTATCAAAGAATAAGACACAGTAGTTCAAAATCTAATTTAGAAACAAATGAAGATGTTGATGATCCACTTCCTAAGGAAGCAAAAGTTGTTATATGTGGAGGTGGAGTTATGGGAGGTGCAGTTGCTTATCATCTTTCACTTATGGGACTGGGACCTCAAACTGTTATTGTAGAAAGTGAAAGGTAGAATTCTTTCAAAATACTATGTCTCATAAAAATTAATTTGAGTTTGTTTGAATTTAGATTAGGCGGTGGAACAACATGGCATACTTCAGGATTGGTTGGAGCATTCAAACCAACTTTGGCACAAGTTAAGCTAGCACAGGATAGCATAGCATTATATAAAGAATTGGAAAAAAAGGGCTTACCAACAGGTTGGAAACAATGTGGTAGTCTTTCTTTAGCACGTACAAGAGACCGTATGACTGTGTTTAGACGGATGAAAGCAGAGTCCATGTAAGTCTATGAACAATAAGAAATGAAGTTAGTACAAATAAATATACAATAAACAAAGTAATCATAAAATTATACAAATTATATAAATTATCAGATCACGTAACATTGAATGTCATTTAATTACACCAAAGCAAGCACAAGAAATTTGTCCAATGGTACGTATAGATGATTTAGCTGGTGGACTATGGATTCCTGGTGATGGTGTAGGAAATCCTTATCAAATTTGCTTAACATTAATAAAAGAAGCAAAAGAGAAAGGTATATTTTGTTATTAATATTTTTCTATAATTTAAATTTAGTTTCGATTATAAGATATATTTAAATTACACTGTTTTTAGGTGTTAAAGTATTTGAAAATTGTAAAGTTACAAAAATTGTAACACAAGATGATAAAATTGAAGCTGTAGAAACAACACATGGAACTATTGAATGTGAACATTTTGTCAATTGTGCTGGATTTTGGGCACGTAATGTAGGCAAACTGAGTGAACCATTTGTAAAGGTTGTTTTATTATTATTTGATATTAAACATGCTTTAAACAATTAAATTGTTTAAATAATGTTAAGTACATTTATTTAGGTACCACTTCATCCTGTAGAACATTATTATTTACATACCAAACCTATTACTGGTTTAGATCCTATGACTCCTGTTGTAAGAGATTTGGATGGTTACATCTATTTTCGAGAAAATGATGGAAGGTTGTTGGCTGGTGGTTTTGAGCCTATTGCGAAACCAGTATTTGAAGATGGAAAAATACCTGGTTGGATATTGATTTGGATGTGTCATTGGTTTTATACGAATTTAAGTCTAATAAAAATTATATTTCAGAAAGTACAGAACAAAGATTCTTACCCGAAGATTGGGACCATTTTCATATTTTATTGGAACAAATGCTTCATAGAGTTCCAAGCTTAGGAAATGTAATTTTGGAAAAATTGTGTAATGGTCCTGAAGCATTTTCTCCAGATTGTAAATGGATAGTTGGTGGAGCACCAGAAATTCGTAATTATTACATCGCTGCTGGTATGAAAACGGTAAGTAATATTAAATTTGTATTCAATAATAGAATATATAAGTGTAATTTTTATAGGTAGGTATATCAGCAGCTGGTGGAGTTGGTCGAGCAACCGCTGAATTAATAGTCCACGGTTCAACATCTTTAGATATGTATGAATTAGATGTATCACGTTTCTTGGGCCTTCATAATAATCGCAAATTTCTACGTGATCGAGTAAAAGAAGTTCCTGGGATGCATTATGCATTACAGTATCCACATAATGAATTTAAAACAGGCAGAAATTTGAGAATGTCACCTATTTATCCAAAACTTCGAGAAGCCGGTGCTGTATTTGGTCAAGTAATGGGATATGAACGGCCATCCTGGTTCCAATTAGATAAAGATGATGGTTGGTTCATTATGTTCAAGAAGTATATGATTTCTGTAAAAAAAAAAAAAAAAAAATTTATACGAATGCTTTATTACATAGATTTTGAAACAACTAATGGATTTCAAAAATGTAAGATTGCGTATACAAATACATTTAGTAAACCACCATGGTTTGAACCAGTTTCGGAAGAATATGCTGCGTGTCGTGAAAGAGTTGGACTCAGTGATTATTCTTCTTTTACTAAAATTGATTTATGGGTAAGATGTACATTTATAATAAATACAATTTACATTCACTGATATTGAAAATAATATTATAATTTACGTGTTCTTCTAGTCAACTGGAATGGAAGTAGTCGAGTTGTTACAGTACTTATGTTCAAATGATGTAGACGTCCCGATAGGAAGTATTATCCATACAGGTATGCAAAATCATTGTGGAGGATATGAAAATGACTGCAGTTTAGCGCGTATAGCTCCCAATCAGTAAGTTACATATATAAATTACTGAAATGATGGAGTATAATATATATAATCATACAATCATTCTTTTAATATTTAAGTTACATGATGATCGCCCCCACTATACAACAAACCCGCTGTAAACAATGGATCAATCGTCATTTACCTCCAGACGGATCAGTATCAGTATCTGATGTTACATCAGCTTATACAGCGATTTGTATTATGGGACCTGCTACTAGACAATTACTGTCAGAATTGACAGATACTGATTTAAATCCTAAGAATTTTCCATTTTTTACATTCAGGGAACTAGATGTTGGACTTGCTAATGGAATACGTACAATGAATCTAACTCATACTGGAGAACTTGGCTATGTTTTATATATTCCGAATGAAGTAAGTACTCTAAACAGGATGGTATAAAACATGTATTGATTTATGTATGATATTTAATGTCGATATATCACATATTTATAGTTTGCACTACATGTTTATACAAGGCTGATAGATGCTGGGGCAAAATACGGAATAAGGCATGCTGGTTATTATGCAACACGAGCATTACGAGTTGAAAAATTTTATGCATTTTGGGGTCAAGATTTAGACACTTTTACTACTCCTTTAGAGTGTGGACGAGCTTGGAGAGTAAAACTTGATGTAAGTTTTTTAAAGATATATAAACTAAACTTATTTGAATTGATATAATTAATTATATGCTTAACAGAAAGACATAAATTTCATTGGAAGAAATGCCCTATTAAAGCAACGCGAAGAAGGTGTAAAGCGAAAATACGTACAGTTATTGCTAAACGATCATGATCTTGAGTACGATACATGGTGTTGGGGAAGTGAACCTATTTTCCGAAATGGACAATATTGTGGGATGACAACTACTACTGGTTATGGATTTACGTTCAAAAAACAGGTATAAATTTAGTGTTTTTGAAACTACAATATAAAACTTCCGAAATATAATTTCTTACTTAAACAAATAAAAAATTACTGAATTTAGGTCTGTCTTGGATTTGTACAAAACATTGATTCGGAAGGAAGACCACAAGAAGTAACAAATGAATACATATTATCTGGAGACTATGAAGTGGATGTAGCAGGAATAAAGTTTCCTGCAAAATGTCACCTACATAGTCCAAATTTGCCAACTAAGTTCCCAGATAAGGAAAGGGATTCTTATCATGCAACGCGTGATCACCAAGCTGCTTAATCTTTGACAATATAAATTTTGAATTGTGTATAAATAATGTATATAGAAAAAAATTTAATAAATTACTTGATAAATGACGATTGTAAATCATTGCTTAACATTTGACCTAAAGAATTATGTAAACCACGTTTTAATTAATCAGCTTTATCTTCTTTCGTAGCTACAATTCTTAAAAAATTACATCAATGTATACTAATAATTATGTACTATATTACAGATTTCCAAATGCACCATACATTCTGCAAGTACTCCCTAAAATGACTTACATAGCACAACATTTTAATTTTGGTACCGACTGAATATATCACTTACTCATAGTACATTTATATTCAGTTTAACCTACAAAAATTCACTATTATTTCTTGAACACCCTTATTATTTTGACTTCTTTCTCTTCACTATTGATACGCATTATACCGACATTTGTGCTATAATATTACAATGTCATGGTAACACACTGTTTCAAGTACACTGTTCGAAAGACACGTTTTGTGAGGTTGAATGTTCGTTGCTTCCTGATTGATGCAACAATCTTTTTATTAAAATATTAACATAATAGTAGTCTCACTTATTCTAGGTCAATCGATACACTTAATGT